ACCCAGAAAAGTCGATTTATAGTCACCACTGAAGAAAGGGAGTAGCATATTCTAAACGTATAACAGAACAATAAACCTGTATGAAACAAATGGCATTTGAGTTAGACGAGCTTCACAACTTGAAGCAGGAAAATCTACGGAGCAATAGAGTAGCGCATTTACATTTTCCGATAACAATCCGCAGTATGTCCTAACACACCATCTACCAACAGCAACATAGAACTTTGTACGTACGTATGTACATCAGTTCAAGTTGCCATACCATATTAGCACAGGATTTGATTGTGACCAATTCGGTCTCGCGTGCTTTTATGGGTATGAGGGCGGATGTTACTTATCAGTTGCCAACACCGTGGAAGCTGTCCTTACATTCAATAATACGAGTGAAACTTTGAAGTGATCCAGTTGCACCGTATACAGTTCATAGACAGGGTTTTGTACCAAAAGTACTATTTCCACGAGACTTTCTTGAAATATACATATAACATTTATTGTTCATAAAAAATCAGTGTCGGTATGAAGCAACTACAGGAAGTTAACTCAATTATTGAAAATTTGAAAAATACCTTTTCAATAATGTCCAAGAAAAAATTTCGCATTTCTCGAGCGTGGCTTAAACCACAAGCTAAATTTATCACCGCTTTGGAGATAGGCTGAAAAAATAACCAAGAATAAAAACATGGTTTTAAATGCTTATTTAAGATCGATTATTTTTACGGAGAATAATTGTTAGATTACACTACTAGAGTTGTGGTTCATTTCTAAATAAAAGCACACTTGCTTTTAGTATCTGAAAAAATTTATGAGACACTATGAAACTCATAGTGTTGTCACAATGCTGAGATTTTTGTACATAATTTTTACTTAAATTAAATGGAACAATGGATTTTGACAGATATTGTGTTATATAAAAAAAGCTATGAAACAAACATCGCAAACTGTCGGAAACTTTTAATTTTATAAGTCGTTGTTGATGAAACTTTTGATTATATGTAAGGATTTCCTCGAGAAACTAGAAAGTATATCAAAATCTTGTCGAACATTTACTGATATTTCTCACTAGGCTAAAAAGATTGATGTACTGAATGTCGGGTTAACTATATTACACGACCATCTTGTCCATACTTTGAATCTGTCAACAGTCAAAAGCGATGAACTTTTAGGTCAGTGAAGAGACAAACTTGACGCTAACATCTTGGTTAGATTCATTATGATTCTACATTACAAAATGCTACTATTATTATGAAACAAATTTATACGAAAACTCGAAGTACATCATATAGTTAGATATACTCATCAAAACTAACGGAAACATTTTTCTATTTGGTAGCTTGTACAATCTGAAGTATTTTGCGTAGACAGCTGTTAATAAACACTTGTATCTTCTGGATGATGGCTTTGGTAGTTCTCTATGTTTCGGCTCCATACAGTAGAACTGTCTTGACATTTGTATTGAAAATCCTGATTTTGGTTTTGGTTGAAAGTTGTTTGGATTTCCAGATATTTTTCAACTGTAGAAATGCAACCCTCGCTTTGCCAATCCGCGCCCTCACATCTGCATCCGATCCACCTTTCTCGTCGATGATGCTGCCAAGATATGTAAAGTTGTTAACGTCCTCGAAAGCATCTCCATCAAGCGTGATTTGATTGGTGCATGTTGTGTTGCATCGGAGAATTTGGCTCTTTCCTTTATGTATGTTGAGACCTACTGCTGCAGAGGCTGCTGCTACACTGGTCGTCTTCTCTTGCATTTGTTGCTGAGTGTGCGATAGAAGAGCCAGGTCATCTGCGAAGTCCAGATCGTCGAGCTGCGTCCTAACTGTCCAGTTGATACCGTGCTTCCCTCCAGATGTTGACGTTTTCATAATCCAGTCGATGACCAGGAGAAAGAGAAAGGGTGAGAGTAAGCAACCTTGCCTGACACTTCAGATTCGTTGGCCAGACACCATCAGCAACAACGAACTGTGGGAGAGAACAAGTCAGATTCCAGTGGAGGAGGAAATAAGGAAGAAGCGGTGGAAGTGGATAGGACACACACTACGAAAAGCACCTAACTGCGTCACAAGACAAGCCCTCACATGGAACCCTCAAGGCAAAAGGAATAGAGGAAGGCCAAGGAACACACTACGCCGAGAAATAGAGAAAGATATGAGAGGAATGAACAAACATTGGACAGAATTGGAGAGGGAAGCCCAGGACAGAGTTGGTTGGAGAAAACTGGTGAGCGGCCTATGCTCCATTGGGGGTAACAGGCTTAAGTAAGTAAGTAAGTAAGTAAGCTTGTACAATAGAACCCCTAAAACAGGCTTACTTTGAAGTTCGAATCCAAATTTGTTAAAATGATTTTCGCTTGGATTTCAGACAGATTGCGAATAACAAGTCTGTAAAAATAATAAAAAGGTCAATTTTAATGATAAACTGATGGAAATAATCGGTTTATGGGTTGTTTTAGTTTGAACTGCCTATAGGATTAACTTTATACAAAAAGAAACATGCATCAGTTTTTTGTCAGTGCTACGAATGTCCTAATATGCAACGTATTGGCCACCATGGTATCATTTGGACACAAATTTCCCTGGACCGCCTCATGATCAAATATATGAGGATTCCTACATCACAAAAGACATAGTTAGACACTTCAGTATGTCCTATCTAAACAGCTCTAAAAATAACAATGATATTAACCAGTGACTAAGAAAAATCAATGGGTTTTAGAATAATTTATTGAACTGATAGATGTTTAGAAACCTGTCCCATATAGCTCGAAACACGATGAGGAACGCAGGCAAGTTAAGCGTAGACTGAAACAGTCTACATAGTGGTCGTGAGCAGTGGTTGTTAGCAGAAGCGAAATCAATGGAAAGGTCTTGGCGATGGGCAACAGTAGACAGCTTTCCAGATTTATCGAAGAAGCAACGGTTAAATATATAGCAATCCGTGAGATTATTTCTGTAAAAGATGGGACAATGATCCATCCTCAACCCAGAAGACTGGGACGATGGGAAGAACACATTTGCGAACAGTTCGATTGCTCTTCAGCTACCTATTTTTTTTAAGAAACTTGAATGGTGTGTCAACATTAGCTTCCCAACTCTTGGAGAAGTAAAAACCATAACTTATCTAAAATGAGGAAGAGCAGTAGACCCTGATGGATTAAACCCAGAGATCTCTAGAGATGGTGGTTCATTTTTAGCTGTTAGATCGATTGAGATGTTAGCTAGAGTTCAATCTCAATTGTTGATCATTTCAGTCTATACGTTAGGACAAAACTATTTTTGTGATAACCATAGAAGAATTAGTTCGACCTCAATGATCATCCAACGCTTAATTAGGGCTCTTGAAGAGCACACTCTGGGGAACCAGGCTGGTTTCAGACCTAGGTTTGGATGTGTAGGCCAAATGTTCGCTCTTCACCAGGGTTCTGGACACCTGACCATAGTTATATCCCCTGTAGATCGGCAGGTTTGCTGGTATTAGTTGTCGTTGGGAAGCGTAACTAAGAAGTGCATTAACATTTAACAGGTTCTTTTTGAATAATACTAGTCGAGTCAGACATTATGGCAAACTACCATCGGAATCGATCATTTAGAGTGGGTTTTCTAAGGGTTGTTTGATATCTCCATTTTTATTTAAATACCTTAGATATTCTTTTGAAAACAATACTTTCATCGTCTGAATTTTCAAGAAACAATCTTCTGCCAGGAGACTAAATTATTGGCTTATAATCCGCATATGACATCTTCCTGTTTGGCGATGAAAAAATGGAGACTGTTGACCAACCTTGGCAACATTGCAAGCATGTTTGTGATGCGTTTCTCACCTTCTGAATGAGGATACTGCCTTGGGGCTGATCTATGTCAGAGAGTGAAAGAATAATGGGGATTGAAGTGGTTGAGTGTATTGGTCATTTTACATATTTTGGGGTCTTCTCAGCCTTGGTGGTCTAGTGTATGATAGAACTTTCAACAAAAATTCACACACCTCAGGTGGTATCCATTAACTTGCATCAATTGTGACGCAGGCAAGACATTTATCCACAAACTGAACGACGAATACACTGAACAGTCTACTCAGCTCTACCTCACAGGTATGGAACGTGGTGTTCAGAAATAGAGGTTATTCATCCGTTACTACAATTCGATTGTATATGCCTACCTTCCAAATATTTTTTGTATACGTTGAGACCATCACGAATGATGAACTTACAGTTTATGTTTATCTAAATATTCTTTTTTCTCAACCAGCGGTTTAAATTCTTTAAGATCATGAAAAAATTGAAGATCCAAATCAATATTGACAACCGTTTCACCTTTCGGATCTTTTAAACCAACAAAACCAAAGAACAATTACTATATATATAAAGTGGGCATATCATGTACATCACTGAGATTTAAGAAATTACATACTAAGCAGAAACTTCTATCAACCATCCGGATAATAACTAAACGCTAACATATTATTAAAAGCAAATAGATAGGAATGGAGGTCAGATAGTCAGTAATAATGTAGAACTTCGTACGTACGTATATCAGTTCAAGTTGCCATACTACATAAGCACACAGACGCAATCAGTCAGTTACAACGCTGAACTTCGTACATGGGTACATAAGTTCATGTTGGCAAGCCGCATCAGCACAGAGACTCATTGTAAATTTCAATCCTATAGCAGCAGTGGTAGAAGTGTAAGCAGTAATCAAAAAGATAAGGATTTGAAGAGATTATTCAAGAAATATAAATCAGCGAAGCGAACTGAGAAAAAGAAATATAAATGTGATGAGGAATTCAAAATAAACGGGACAGTAAAGACTCGTAAAAATAGTGACATTTCCCGTTGTCTCTTCAATGTCTCTGCTTACGCTCCCATTGACTGCAATTCAGACGAGGTAAAAGATCAGTTCTACAGTAACCTCTCTGAACTCCTTCAAAAGTTAGGCGCTCTGATATGGTGATAGTGGCTGGAGACTTCAATGCTCAAGTAGGGAGACAAAGCGTCGCGGCTCAAAGATCGGATAATGTCGACCATCTGCTGCAACTATGCTCAGACAACCGCTTATTTCTAGCAAACACTAAATTCAAGCATAAGAAGAAACATCTCCTGACCTGGCGACACCCAAAGATGACCCAATGATGGACCTAACTAGATCACATCGTTAACAGCCACCGATGAAGGAGTTCAATAGAAGACTGTCGCTCGTTCTAGGGCATTGTTATGATTCAGACCATGCTCTAGTACGAGCGCGTATTTGTCTGCGACCTAATGGACGTACGAAAGAAACCGCAAGCAAACCTTTCAGTGTTCTACGTTGTAACTGACTGACTCTACTTAATTATAGCATAGCTAACAATATATTTCGGCAACAATTAGAAAAACAGTTAAGCAGACATTTAGTGAATGGTTCCCACCCTGAGGCAGCTTCAATCGATATCCAAAACGCTGTGGAAACAACAGTGATATCTGCTAGTAAGGTAAACCGTAAGTTTAGAAGGAAGCCGTAGATTTCAGTAGCATCTACCGAACTGATGTAAGCTCGGAAACTTACCCCACCTGGATCTAAACATGAGGAAGAGAGGATCTATGGCAGTGTCTTACATTGAAAGGTGTACCAGAGAAATACACTAACCTCATACAAGCTCTCTATTCGAATACTACTGGTCGAGTCAGAGCTTACGGCGAACTATCATCGGCCTTCTTTTCTTCAAGTGGTGTCCGTTAGGGATGTCCATTCTTTCAATTCTTGTTTAACTTTGTCACAGACATGCTTTTAGAGATAACATTATCTTTTTTCTCACTTTTCAGAAGTGAACCTTCTACCAGGAGACTCGCTTGTTGACTTAGAGTACACTGATGACATAGTTCTACTTGGTGAATAGGCTGACAAAATGCACGGCCTGTTTATGAGAAGTTTTTAAGGTGTTGGCTCCGCCCTTGTTTAAAAGGCCTTAGCACCGGAGACGGAAATCCCTGAGGTAAGGTGAGGTGTAACATATTTAGAGTCGACCTTTTCCAAACCCATCCTTCCTTTTAGTCATCAATTCGCGGAACGCTGTTTGCCTACTGTGATTTGAACAACCGGGTAGCATTACAAGCCCGAAAACTTAGAATCTAGCTACCCACCAGGTATACGAATCAGTACCTAGTTGGTGGGTCAATAGTCTTAGAATTGTAATTTACATCCTAACCAGAATAAATCATAAGCTCCTCATTTGTTATACACTGAAAAAGTGGACAAAATTACAACTCATCAAGAAATGAAAGCAAATTTATACCTACCTTTACTACTAGTTGACCAATGAGTCATTAGTTGACTTGCACAATATGCCAAATTCTCAAAAGTAAGGTACGAAAGACACTTTTTAGACGTTTCGAATCTAGGGAAAGATATATACAGAGGGATAACTATGTATTGAGCAAAGTAAGTGCAAACAGTAAACTACACCCTACATAAGCGTGTCTAACCATGGAAAGCATGAGGACTAAAGAAAGCATAAAATAGTTAGACTAAACTGGAAAAATGTGTGGACAAACGATGTATCAGGAATTTCTGGGAGGATTAATTTCTCTGAGCCACTATAATAACTTTGAACAATATTATTCAAGGCTTTCAACAATGCAGTCTAAATTATTAAGCCTAATCCCCAATAACGGTTGGTAACTTAAATGACTCGATGCTATCTCCTTGTTTAGTCACCTACTGTGTACTTAACCTACTCCTACTATGAACGAAATAGTTAACAAAAGAAAATAGTATCAGACCGTAATCGCCAGCGAATACCTGAAGAAGAATGAAACAGAGTCCAAAATTAACGAGTGCTTCTTTGGGAATTTAGCAGTTTTTTTCCGCAGTGGTGACTGGAACTGACTGACTAACAAATATGATGATCTGAATATTCAATCAGTAACAGATACACGTTTTATAAAGTGAAAAAAAATACGAAGATTACTAAAAACCCATAATAAAATGAGAACTGTATATATATACCTTATGACAGTTTTTGGTGCCGTTAAAGTATATCGTATTCATGATTGAAATACTGTTGGATTAAATTATATACCAAAGCCAATTAGGTTGGCAAACGTCTAATTTATATATATATACCTGTTACTTGTGATAAATATAACAGCGGCATAACATTCAGCAAGCCATTCTGGTAGAAGAAAACAATTCTTTATATTATCCGTTAGTGGACCAGGTAAGTCTTCAGTACGGCGAGCAACACACGACAAATTATCAAATTGTCTTTTACAACTCCTCAGTTGAAGTTCACATCTTTCTGCAATATCAGCTAATTCTCGTCGAGATTTATTTGACAATCTCCTGCCAACAAGTTCACGTAAAAAACTTTCATCAAGGGAATAGTATCTGTGTATTACGATAAATTGAAGTGAGAGTTATGCATCAAGTGACTGGTATAAGGATGAATCAAATTCATATGATGTCAACAAGAAGCAAGGAGATTGAACTAACTGACACAAAACTGCCAGGATCAATAACTATTAAGTTACCAGTGACTTTTGGTATAATGTCATAGGGTGATTGTCCAAAAAGAACTATGGTTACCTCAAACACTTACATAAAACTATTGGTCTAGGCGCTAGACAAATAGGGCAGTTTTATCATAGGCAGTAAATTTTGACAAATCTTAAGCTAGCTTCGAGATTTATGGGAACTCAATTATTGATACGCAAAATGATCGGGAGTGAATTTAAAAGCATTGAGTGTAATATCTGCTCGGACAAATTCGAAATTAATAAGGAATAACACTTTTAATATATAAGATGCTACAAAATAAGTTTTCTTCCCATCATGTTAAGCATATAGCTATACCAGTTTGATCTAAACAGCAATTTCCTTTACGTTGTGGTTACTAGATTCAGTGAACAGAATTTTTGAAAAATGTTTGAACACGGTTGAATTTTTTTTCTAATACTAAGAGGTAGTAAGCAAATGCTCAGAAAAGAGGTATCTTTTGTGTTGACAATGCATTTAGTTAAGTTAACAAATCATAATTTTACGAAGTGCTTAAAACATCTGCTTTTATTTAATGTATCTTTTTATAGGTATATCCAACTTATGTCAGAGAGGTATTTACATAATCACCTAACATACCTGCTGTAAAATAGTCACGGAATTATTTAAAAAAAAGAAGGATACGTGAAAATGCGCTGTGAACACAAGGATTATTAGTGTCAGCTTTACAGTTAACTCGTACCCACTTGCAGTAATACTTTAAGTGCTTGTAAAATGCATATTAGTCTCATATATTAAAAGATAAGTGAATTGGCAATTTAGGAGACCCCAGTAACAACATAATTTGTTCACCTAACTGGTCGTTCAGTCACTAGATTTATTTACAGAAATAGAACGATTAATAAAAGGCACCAAGCAAGAAGTTTTTATAATTCTTGTGATTAGTAGATCAGCCAAATAAGTTATTTTCTGCATGACGAGCACTCTTAGATGCTTGTAATATTTTCTCTGGATGTAAAAAAATAAAACCGAAATAGGTGAATAAGATCAATACATACAAGTGAATTAACTGCTTGCGAGTTTCCGGTGTAAGTTGATGATATGCACAATCTTGCATGAAAGAATTTGGATGTCGCAAACCTGATTCCAAAAGTGTGAACTGGGCGAAGTGGTCCCTGACGTGTGCAGCCAACATATCATTTGTCATACCATACTCATCTACTGAAGGTGATTGGGCCATAATTGAGCAAGCCTGAGAAACTAAGGAATTGACGGAATGTTAAGCAGGTCTACGTGAATTTAGGGAGATAAATAAATTGTCTATCGAATATCGAGACTATCCCAGATAGTTTTAAAGGCATGTAGTAGATACGAGATATATTTCAGGCAATGATCATGGTTTACCACGACCATTATCACCGATACCAGTTGAAAACTTCATGTAACAATAGTCATAACACAGTAATGACACCGACTTAATACAACAAATAAAACGTCCAGGTTGTACATCTTATTGGTTGACAAAATTTATTAGTGTCAAACTGAATGGTGTAATGATGAGTCAATAATACACAAGGTTCTCGGAAAAAGCACAAAAACAGTTAAAGCTTCAATATGGATACAAGGTGCTACTATAAATACGCTGTGATTTTCACGGTATGATGACAGACCTGATACAGGCTACTTATTTATAGAAACACACTAGGAAGCTTATGACTAAGAATTAGTGTTACCAGTATACAACGGGTACTAAAAACAAAAATGTCCTAAGCAAACGAAAGCAAGAGATAAATGAGAACCTATGGAAAACACAAGCGATATAGCTCAAAACTTAGGAAGTATGGGTGGTATTTTAATAGCGTCGGCTATTTGACTGTAATTGAGGACAGTAAGACATTTTGCCTGCATAGCTTTCATGAGGCGGTGTCCCTAAATTCATAACTAAAATTCTGTTTATTAACCATTAGAATGAGCACTCCGCACAGTAATTAGTACAAAAACTACATAGCAATCAACTAATCCCTCCAGAATTTAACAATTTTGAGATTATAAGACAGTCTCACTAAAAGTTTTAGGACAAATGGAATACACATCCCAGAATTTCCCAACATGTTTTCAGATTTAGGCTATTTCTCAGAACATGACAAAAACAAAGGGACAAGTTGATGGCACACTTACTAGTTCGGCCATGGACCCATAAGTCAAACATTTCCATATCAACAAAACTTGGACTAGTAACTGTGACATCAACAAGACTACAAGACAGCATCGCAAGATCCTGACTATGAGTAAAATTCAGAGAGCTTAGAAGAAGTATCTCGAACACCACACTGACGGCCTCCAATGAACCAATCAGAATAAAGGTGAGACTGGTCCAATATCCAATATCTTTTTCACGATCTAGTGTAAACCAATTGATTTCTTCGCTTTCGATTCTTGTTCTTTCTGTACGGTTACAGGTGCTCGGCAATGTCCAATGGATGGAGGTCTAGCCACTCGATTGTCTGTTTCTTGTCAGTTGGCGGTTGGTTGTGAGTTTGTATGTCTCGGCATTTGAATGAAAACGTTTGTTTCAGGACAGTAGAGTATCTGAATACCAGCAGCCGTCACATTACCAAACCAGGTCATGAACAGCTTGTCCAAGAGGGAGATGATAGTCCGTATGTAGGTACGTGGTTATCAAGTTTCTTCTTAAAGCAGTACACTGAGGGGGCTGTGGTCACCTCGGCTGGGAGAGTATTCCAAGTTGCGACGACTTGCAATGAGAAAAAGTGTGTACGAATCTGAGTACTCGCTCTTTGATGTGCAATTTTTTGAAGATTGCCTCGAGGGGAGTGATGGTGATGCATCGGTAAGATGCTCACATTGGGATGGTTTGGCGTGTTTAATATGGTGTACGCCATAATCAGATCACCTCCGATTCTGTTCTAGCTCAGTGGAAATAATCCCAAGAGCTGGAGTCCATCGTCTTAGAGTTTATTTTTCAACCCTATCACCCATTTGGTTGCTCGTCTCTGCACTCGATCCAAGAGATTTATGTCTCTTTTAAGCAGAGGGGGTGCGATGACGTTTTGAACTTCCAAGTGTTGGCGCGCGTACATCTTAAACAGGGTTAAAAATAATTGCGGACTGAGAGCACCAGGTTTTCTTCGCATAAAGTGAAGATTCGCATTTGCCTTGGCTGCGTCCGCTACATAGTTCGGACTCGTGTGGAGGCTTTCTGTGGTTATTAAACCAAGATCGTGCTCTGAGGTGACATTAGGGAGCAGAATTCCATTGAGGGTATAGATTTTTTGCGTCGTGTGAGGCAGATTATGCATGACGTGACACTTCAGTTGGTTCAGTTTTAAACCGTTTTTCACTTCCCATTTCTCAGTAGATGTAAGGTCGTTTTGAAGCTCAGTCGAATCCTCTTCGCTTCTAATGGACCTCCAGATGTTCGCGTCGTCTGCGTAGATCAATGCCGGTGAGTTAACTAAGCCTAACAGGTCGTTAATAAATAGAGAGAGAAGTGGGCCTCGGATGGTCCCTTGTGAAACTCCTTATGTGGATACTCGCCAGCTCGCGTGTACTCTATTTACGTTGGTGTGAAACTTCCTATTCTCAAAGTAGTTTCTGAGTGGGTCAGTGAAGCCCATTCCCACAACCTTTTCGATTAGGCGTGCGTGGGGTGCTTTGTCAAAGGCTTTTGCAAATTCGAGAAATATTACTTGCACCGGTATTTTACGGTCCAAACAGGATGTTAAAATGTCCCATGCGATGAGAAGATTAGATGCACATGACCTACCTTTCTAAAACCCTTGTTGCGCTCGATGGAGTATTTTATTCTTACCCATGTACTCCCTCTTTTGTTCGTCCACTAGCCCTTCCATAACCTTTAATAATATTGGTAGTAGTGTGACTGGTCTGTAACAGGCTGGGTCCTTTCTATCTCCTCCTTTTAAGATTGGAGATAAAGTAGCTTGTTTCCATTCCGCTGGGAAATGGTGTGACTCGAGTGAATGCCTGCCATGTAACAATGTGAAAAAGGCCTCTGTTCACCGATACATGACAAGACTATGGGGAGAACTTTGTCACAACCTGGTGACTTACCTGGGCGTAAGGATTTTAGTTTCCTTAGTACAAAGTCATGAGTGATACGGATGTTCCCTAAGCCGTCAGCTGGCAATAGGTTGGCACAGTACTCTGTACATGTGGGCTACTGGTTTTGAAGATCTCGGCCATCTCAGTTAAATAGCTTGTATTGTGATGAAATAAGTAAAAACTGGTAACATGTAGTTCCAATAGTGCTTGAAAATGATTAAGAAACATCTATCATATAACTAACCAGTCTATATATTTTGGCGCTGTAAATGGGCGAAATAAAGGATTTTGTTTAGAGTGCTTCATAATCTAACATCAGTGTATCGCTGGCGCTTCAAGCCAGGAATCTAAGAATTTTCAACGATGAAATATCAAATATTAGTGTATTCTAGTGGAATAATGTCCGGAGTCCTTATGGATAAGGAACTTTACTGAAACAATTAAATTCAAGCGTGGAGAATTATTCCTTAATATTGGGTCACGACATGGTCTGGCAACAGCAATGTTGCTACGTATAATAGAAATTACTGGTCAACGATTTTTTGATGTACGCCTTTTCAGACAACTCGTTCTATCTGACAGATGCAAGATGTTCTCGTCTTAGTTCAAAGTAATATGCCTAACTAGCTAACTCCGTCTCTTAAGCAGATTCTAAAGATAGCTAGAAATATCAGCCCCAAGATCTGTTCTCTTGGTCAAACACCTCATCTAACCTGAAACGAAATTGCTGGCCTCTGCAGTACAATAACCCGTTTCTTAAGTCTTCAAAATAGTAGCTATTAATCAGAGTCTTACGGAAAAAGCTCGTCTGAAAGTAGCCTGTTTTTGAACTGTGGTGGTATACTTTTACGAAGAAAACACAGTCGTTGAAATACGAAAATTTATTACTGTACTCAATTCTAACATATATTGTTATACTGTACTCCTTTTGTTTATCTGTACAAAAGGCTATCCCTCGCGAGCCAAGCGTGTATTTCCCAGTCGGCGTTTCTCCTCAGTGTTGTTAGTCGCTTCGGTACTCTAGCCTTGATATTATTTTGATATCACATGGCTAGCGATAAAAATACTTCATCTTCTAGAATCGTCTTTTCTCCGATTTCTAGATTAACGGAATTAAAATTCGTCATCCCGCTTTGAATGCCTGTTTGGTACCACTGCAAGACTGTGAGAAACAGACAACCGGAACTAGTGTTGATACTACAACACCCACGGCAAATCTCTGAAGAACTACAAGGAACCTGGTAGTTTCCGTTGCTTTCAATCCTTCGACACAAACATTTCGAGAAATTCCCCTACAGGCAAGAACTAGCTGCGGCTCCTGACGGTGGACAAAACCATCTTCTTTACATGACTGATGTGACGACGTAGGTTCGTAATCTTGTTGACAGTGGCGCAGAAGGTACCTCGTTCCAGTGATCACAAACGGCAGCTTACATGATGCAGTTTTCGATCGTCGGGTTGCACCCGGAAAACCGACGGCCGGATTTTCGTTGTGGCGGACAAGTCAATGCCAATCATTGGTTCGGACATGTTGCAAAACCATAGCCTACGCCCTGACCCAATTAGACGGAGGTTAACAGACTGTAATATTAAACTGTCTATTTATAGAGTTATCCCCAAAAGGATAATGATAATTGGTGTCTAAGCGATAATTATCGGCAACTGTGTACGAAAACTATACCTGATTGTTAACCTCTATTTCGCATCCCTTACTTGAGAGTTACTCTGAATATTTCTACTATCTTCTCAAAAATACGACATGATTAAAACCTTTAACCAAATCCTTATATCCCTAAAACGGCCTTCATCACAATTCAGGACTCTACGAATTTTTGAAATGCTGCTCAAAGCTTCCTGAGATTCATTGATGTAGACGATGATTCATCCCAAATCATTCATCACTCATGTGATCCTGAGCCAGCCAACTTCGTGAAAATGAGACGACACTAAGAAGTAAGAATCTTCCACTAGGCAATTTGTGTCGGCACAGATAGACACCGAGGCACCTATTAGTATGGCAATTGAAGCATCTGATTCAACAATCAGAGGAATCTGGCAACAGTGGGTAGACCATACCTGGTAACCTTTAACATTCTTCTCGATACGCTGAACTGAGATTTAGAACTTTCGGAATGGAAATCCTAGGTACTTATTGTGCTGTACAACACTTTCAACATTCAGAGAAAGTCCAAGAATTCACCGAATTCATAAGCTTACACATTTGATCCTTTACTCTGGCTCGTCTTCAGTCAAGTAAAATCCTCAAGTGTCCCGAAAACTAGACTTTATTTTGCGATTAATTCCAGATGTGCAACACAATTCTAGGATAAACATTGTTGTTGCAGATGCTTTATCTCACATTTTGCTGGAACACTTTCTTAGTAACTGACCTTCCACAACTCGTCCTGCTTCAAAATGATGACCCTCACCTTTAGCAGGTGTTATCATCGAAGGCATTGAAACTAAGATCCAGATAGATAGAACCAGGTAATAAAAATTTGCTTTGCGACATATTTATGAGCATGGATTTTCTGATCCTGTTGGAGCATTACTGAGGCAACGTCTTCATTATGTTGCTCAAAGTTTCTCATCCATGTGCCCTAGGTGATGGCAAACAGATTTCGCTGGCCTGGTTTGAACAAAAACGTCAAGAAATGAGCAGACTCATGTGTAAACAATCCCTGATAATAAACGGTCTCGGAAAAACATTACTGTTATCTGACAAGTAAGCTACGAACGACACGCACAGGAAGGTTTTTAGTATTGTCAGTGTCTGGGAAATTAGAGTGCGTACGATATATAACACGCTTTTTCCTCCAGTATTGTGTTTCTCTCACTTCAAGGATTTATAACTGCTTTATTGGCTTTTATGGTATCAAAAGAAAATTTTCTAGATGTGGTTTATATATAACCTTACCGCTTGCTATAAATAGGATTCGAACTTCCGAGTTGCTACGTATTAGGGTCATCACTTTTGAGGCAGGCGAATCCACTAAGTAAATGGTGCTGTGAGTTGCCATTCGGTTTGACGTGCTACCCGACCTCTAAAACCAAATAGCGAACTAAAATAAATCACCTTGAAACATACTAAACATCTTTCAAATATACCTTTGATCTTTTTGTTTGTTTTGGCTTTGTTATTCTTGACTAGAAAGATTTATTGGACAGAAGTATTGTCCAACTTTGAACACCTTCTCTGACTTTTTTTCCACAAATTGCAGCAATGGCTGACCAACATTCGCAGTTAGATTGCCTGAGACTTTTGACATAGTGATTCAGTCTGTTAGTAAATTGTGGTATTTAGTTACTCGTTAGAATAGATATTTTTAGCCGCTCTCGAAATCTAGTTCACTCTGTTGCAGGTTGAAGATGGGTCACCATATTGATTACAGTCATACTTTACTGCAGTAGCAGGTTGTATTGAGCCAGTACTCTGCTAGACTGACATAGGTACAAACTCTGTAAGGTTTTCTATGTCATCTAAAAACTCTTTAGATTCGCGCACGCCATTTAATGGACTGATCATCCAGCCTTTTGTGTAGGCATACACAAGAAATAAAAGTTTGGTTCGTGTGGAATTGTAGTACAAGGAACAGTAAGGTCAGGTTGCCTGTAACGTTTATAAGGAAATCCAGTAGTTTTGACCTTGATGAACGATAGTCATGGTGTTAAGGTCCAATAGTGAACTTATTTATCTAACGTTTAATATTATATCAGTGACCATAAGCTCTAACTTCTCTTTAGTCTTCAAGGGAATATACCAGCGACAATGAGTTTTCAGAAGTAATCGTTTATCACAGCTTCGTCAACGCTTGATCTGTTAGAATAATATGAAGTCATATCAGAATCACTAGTTACAAATCACGTGAATGTTTAGCGAAAATCGAAGATATCAGTGGGTGGGAATTTTATGGGTTCGCGTTATGAAATAGTCCAGCAAAACACACGATAACATAGGAGCAGTAGTAGCAAAGGAGTCATTCTGAGTAGCAGGATTATCAAGCTATAGAGTTGGCATTTTTACTTTCCGTGGTTTTTACCACGTGAATATAGTTTGTTTTTTAAGTTATCCTGAGTTACAAAGCCGGTTTTCGCACTCTCTACTCCTGAAAATGATACTCAAACATTTGGAAATGTAAAATAAATTTCATTTAGTTTGTTATCCTCTCATTTAAAACAGGTTAGGATCAATAAAACCCATCGCTATGCCACGGTTGCAAGTTCCAATAAGCATTGACCGCGTCCATCAATCAAGTGCGTCCCTAGCGTTTTGACCTTCAGATGCGTTAGTTATCTGCGTGTGTTTCAGATATCTTTAGGTTTATTTCCTTGTTCATATATTTTTTCCCGCCATGACCTCCCACTTTTTATAACTTTAACTCATGTATGGATGATGTTAATTTATCAGAGATAGTCCTTGGGGTGTTACGTTAACCAAACTCGATTTCAGTAAACATGCACGCATACATTGGTTATGTATAAATTATCTGTCTAATCTATTGCTTTATACTAGTCGGTATGGTTATTGTGGTATACCGAAGGTAGACGTTATCTATATTTTTTATCGGTTATTTATGCACCTACACAAGCCACAAAGGTTAGTCAGGATTGTCGGACTTCAAATGAAGTTTGGAATAATTAAGTGCAACTTTTAACACCAGATTTACTTAGCTCCGGTTCGTCGCCTGGATTTTTTTTCAATTGTATTTATGGTACCTAGTTGTGCTCATGCATCATATCTATAAATTATATATATATACTTTCATTCGAAATAATTTGCGGGAGCATTTTTTCTGGACAAACCTTTCACATTCGAGGTAGCCAGTCTTGGAATTTTGTTGAAGGTTTATTTTCCCAATTGACTAACTAGCATATCCTCATTATAACTGATATCAGTTCGTGAGAAAGTTTTCAAATGTAATTCCCAATCTCGAAATTCCACTCTGAATCCTAATACTGGTTCCTCCCTTAGTAATTAGATGAATATCCTTGATTTCACTTTAGCAGTTCACTTATTATGGTGCTCAGAAAGTCTAATGGAGATTTGTTGATAATATAGTCAGTTTTGATCATGGCGATATTCTTACTAGTAGTTCACATTTTGTTTCTAGTTTAAAACTGCCTAAGGAGGCACTCTGTTGGATCTGCATGAATAGTTTATCACAGAACTACACATCAGATGTAAGATTCAGTCCTAAAGAAAATTTAGATAAAGTGGTCAACTGACTTCTTAAAACAAAGATTCATGTATTTTAGAAAATTCTGTCAAGCCAAACGTATTAACTTATACTTTTACTTTTTTCAGGTAACTAAGTTCCAGACAATAACTTCTGATTATCGTTGTCGAACATCCATTTTCTGCACCTTAGTCGCAGATTTCAAGTGTATATTTCTAGATATTTATGCCTAAAAATAACTGAAGAACGAATAGCATGGCTAGGATATGAAGTATGTGTGATTAAAAATCTTGTCTTATGTTTGATATTTTATTAGATTTCAAACCCTATGGATCAGTAATAATTCTCAGCATTTAATGTGTTTTGCCCACTTTTCTAGCTGTTGTTTGAGTAGAAGACAATTAATTTGATATCAAGTGGCTATTGGTTATATACCTTTAGCTTCGCTAGTTTCTAAGACTAACAATTTACCTTGTAACCACTTCCAAATTGTAATTGACGTTTCAAAATGTCTGATAATTAAATTTTGCCGTGTATTGTGTTTTTTTTATTTGCGATAAAGTCCAATCTTGACTTCATTGTTTTAATTAAAAGCTTACTCCAACTAGAAAATTTTCGTTGAGTTTTATTATGGAGGTAGCGATTATAGGGTTGTTTACTTGTAATAAAACTCATATGGAGGGAAAAAATATTTATCACTCAGCAATAGATTTCATTTACGGTTTGTTTTCACCTTTTTTGACTTGTAGTAAACATATTACTTGAGGTCCATACGGGTTTATTGTGAAGGAATTAGATCATCATGTTATTGACTTTGAGCATCCACAAAATAATTTTTGGCTAACACGTCAAAATGTATGGTAGTTTGAATATCGGAAAGCTTAAAAAAAGCAGCAAACAATAAAATGAAAACATGAAGAGGGTATTCAACAAATAAGGGCATTGTAAATAAAGCCAATGAAAGATAAGTTGATATGGACTTATAGATTATGCTTAGTCAGTATTCATGGGTGTTTTGATCAAATCAAACTAACACGAGATGACGTTTTCTCATTAATCAGTGTGTTAGCAACGTGGTTTCGAAAAAATATGTAGAACTTTTACTACTTGGGTTTGTGTTGATCTTGGCGGTTTGAAGAGCTTTATTTTGTTTATAATGGCTATGACAGTTGGCTAAACTTGTTTAAGACTACGTTTATCTGCGGCAAAGCAGCAGGACCAGACAACATTCCAGCAGAGGCAATGAAAGCAGATGTAGAAGCAACTGCGAAAATATTTCACAACCTCTTCAAGAAGATTTGGGATGAGGAACAAGTACCATCAGATTGGAAAGAAGGATACCTAATCAAAATACCAAAGAAAGGCGGTCTCAGCAAGTGTGAAAAGCACATAGGCATCGCTCTTCTATCAATACCAGGCAATGTCTTTAACAGGGTATTGTTAAACAGAATGAAGGACTTCGTAGACGCCCAACTTCGAGATCAACAGGCCGGATTTCGTAAGGATCGATCGTGTACTGACCAAATTGCTACATTACGGATCATTGTGGAACAATCCATTGAATGGAACTCACCACTCTACATCAACTTCACTGACTACGAGAAAGCATTTGATAGTGTGGACAGGACAACACTATGGAGGCTTCTTCGACACTACAGTATGCCTGAGAAGATAGCTAACATCATACGGAATTCTTATGATGGATCAAACTGCAAAACCATGAACGGAGGCCAGCCGACACACTCTTTTGAGGTCAAGACCGGTGTCAGGCAAGGTTGCTTACTCTCACCATTCTCTTTCTCCTGGTGATCGAATGGAGTATGAGGACGTCAACATCTGGAGTGAAGCACGGTATTCAGTGGACAGCTAGGATGCAGCTGGACGATCTGGACTTCTCAGATGACCTGGCTCTTCTATCGCACACGCAACAACAAATGCAAGAGAAGACAACCAGTTTAGCAGCAGCCTCTGCAGCAGTAGGTCTCAACATACGTAAAGGGAAAAGTGGGATTCTACGTCACAACACAACATGCACCAACCAAATCACTCTTGATAGAGATGCCTTGCAAAACGTTGACACCTTTACATATCTTGGCAGCATCATCGACAACCAAGGTGTATCCGATGCAGATGTGAGGGCGCGGATCGGCGAAGCAAGGGCTGCATTTTTACAGTTGAAAAATATATAGAACTCCAAACAAATATCAATCAACACCAAAATCAAGATTTTCAATACAAATGTCAAGACAGTTCTACTGTATGGAGCGGAAACTTGGAGAACTACGAAAGCCATCATCCAGAAGATACAAGTATTTATAAACAGTTGTCTTCGCAAAATACTTTGGGTTCGTTGGTCAGACACTATCAGCAACAACGTACTGTGGGACAGAACAAACCAGATTCTATTGGAGGAGGAAATGAGGAAGAAGCGGTGGAAGTGGATAGGACACACAGTACGAAAAGCACCTAACTGCGTCACGAGACAAGCCCTCACACGGAACCCTGAAGGCAAAAGGAAAAGAGGAAGGCCAAGGAACACATAACGCCGAGAAATAGAGAAAGACATGTGAAGAATGAACAAAAAATTGGAAAGAACTAGAAAGGGAAGCCCAGGACGGAATTGGTTGGAGAAAACTGGTGGGCGTCCTATGCTCGATTGGGGGTAACAGGCGCAAGTTAGTAAGTGAGTAAAGCAGATTAATCCTAAATAATTTTGAAGCTTTCTAACGTGATTTGCTCTTCAGACTATGAAAAAATGTTGCCGAAGCTAAAATTCATTTTAGTCTGGCGTATTTGAGTTTTTTATAATTTTATTGATCAGGTGTGGTTTGACGTTTTGACGGAGCTTGTAATTTTAGCATTTCAAGTCAGAAATAACATGTAGTAATACAGTCTTCTAAGTACTTCGATTTGTTTGATAAATCTTTCTCTTAACGACATTTGATACATCTTGGGAGTTGTTAAACTAAATGCTGAACTTATTCCTTGATCAGTTAAGTAATTCTTCGAAGATCTTCAAATGGGTTCGCTGTTTATAAGATGGAGTGACAGTATTCTTAATGTGATTTTGGGTTTTAACTACCCGTCTAAACGTGTTGTATTTCACAGTTAATACTTAAAAAGCCTTTTCACTTGTACGATAACACTTGATTACTGGTTTCTCTGTTATGGCGCTTAGTATTCTTCTAATCAACCTCAGTTATCATTTGTTACACTTTTGTATCTACACAAAGCTACATAATCGTGTAACTGATTTGTTCCATTCATAATTATTCCATATTTTGTTAGAGTCAATTCAAAGGAACTTGGCTATGTGTCCCCTTCGTGGGATTCGTCTTTTGAAGGGATCCTGTATTGGAAACAAAAAGTAGATTCGCGATCAAAGCGTAGTTGTGGTTTGTTTTGATTAACTGTAAATTACTTTCTAGTTTTTTCTGAACATTGGTGTCGGATCAAGGGAAATATTTTCGTTCTTTGCCGCTCTTCTGACAGAACGAGCAATGAAATCTCAGGTGTGGTACTGTTAGAACGTTTTACTGTGTCGCGTACTAGAGATGAAGAAATATCTTACGCATTTCGTTTAGGTAATTTTATGGGTCAGAGTTAAATAACTTGCACAGATTTTGATTCCGGTGACAAACCTCTCATATTTACTGCTCGTTCTGAAAATGAGGTGGAGAAGTGGTGTTATCACTTTAACAAGGCACAACTGGCACCTAAATTACGACGTTTCACTTTGCTTCGTGATGAAATACGAAGAATCACAGGATCTGATCCACTGGAAGCGGGTTTTTCCAGTAGTTCAGGTACCCCTGCAACTATCATTGATGAAGGTAATTGTAAATATTTTTTGAGACGATCCTATAATATGCATCGATGAACTAAGTTCTATTTATTTTTGTTTCAGGTTCATTGAATGACGAGGGACTTGAAATTATGTTGAGTAAGTCTACTAGAGTCTATCATTATAATTAACGGAGTGCAATCAAACATGCATTTCAATTTGCGCTCATTTTTATAATAACTCTGCATAAAAGGTCTTAAAAGCAAGAGTTTCCGCTTAATTGTTTTTCTTTAAATGGTCTTCTTCTATTAGGTAAAATTAAGCAGTAATTATTGCTGTTCATGGAATTGTTGTACTTCCCCAGATTCTTAAGGTGTATTTTATATCACTTTACCACTGTTAGGATATTTTATTTATTTAGTTAGACAATGTCATTCTGGTAGCTATCAGATGTCGTTATCTAGATATCATTTAGATTGCTTGTAACGTCTCGGTATTTTGGGCTTTTTAATGTTGACTGAAAACTGATTTCATTAAGGACTCTTAGTGCATCCATACTCGTAGACTTAACTGTTTTATTTAATTCATCATTTTTACCGAATTTAGTTCTTGATTAAGATAGAAGTTTGTCATTCAGTAATTATTACATTTAGATAAAGTGTGTAAGTAGAGATGTAAAAAATCACTTTCGTGTTACAATATGATTTGGCTGATAGATTATCGTCCGTTTGGCTGAAGTGCAGTGCATTCATAACGTTTCCAACACAGTTAATTTCATTTAGGAATTCGATAACAATATTTCTGACAATTCGTGTGTATTTGGTCAGTCACTGATGTTTTTATTTTTCTGTTGATTAGTGTAAACTGCCAATCGTTGTTTCTGCCCCGGATGGCTGAGTCGCTTACCTTTTATCTACTAAAGTGTTTACTGTACATTCTCATTAATTATTACCAAACTGCGTCTATTTTAGGATTTTTTGTTTATTTTGAACTTACTTTTATATACTGACAACAGTAATCGTCGGGACGAGTTAAATTATTACAGCTCATTTGATAATGAGACTATCGAAATCATATACTGACCGTTATGCTCACTCATGCCTTACTCAGTCAATTTAATTAATAGGTAAATGATCACTTGGTGACCAATTAGCGTACGCAAAATTGATAAAAAGTTGATACCCCTGGTAAATGAATTAAGGATGTACTTTTTGAGTACGGTTTCCTGCTTAAATCACAGAAAAATAGATCAATATACTTATTAAGCTCAAGGAAATGAAATGAATATGATTGGTGATAATATCCGAATTATTAGTAGTTAGGAAATAAAAATCAGGATCCTAGGTAAAAAAAAATTAATAAAATTAATTAATAGAATAAGCAAAGGTAGTCTCATATGCGTATGGATGAAAAGTTATTGTTATTATTAGTGTTTAACAGAATAAGTTTCTATTACGCACCATTCATTTTTCTACTGGTGTAGAAGCTAAAATTATAGAAAGTAATGGTCACTCATTTTAGTTCATATCATTGATTTGTCAGTTAACACTTTTTGCTTACGACTATAGTTCAGTTATAAGACAACGACTTTTTAAAAAGTACCTTTTATAAAATTACCTTATAAAAGTAACACAACAATAAATGATTGACAAGAAGCGATCAAAAGTAAAATTAGTAATTAATTCATTATGATAATCCTCCAGTTGACAGTAAATTATATTTTTAAAAATTCTGTTATTAATTACTTTGTATTCTGTTCATTGTAAAAGAAATCTCTATATACAGAATGGTATTTTCTCGTAAGAATTATATTCGTCGCATGTCGAATGTCGTCTTCTTAGTAATTAGGGGTTTGACCGAAAATATTAGGCCCATAGTATTAAAGTGATCTTGGTGACATTCAATTAATTGCATTCACTCATTTCATTCACTGTCGAGCTAATATTTTTAAATGGCATAGCAAAATGTAGGTTATAAGAATGACAACAAGTTCTTTTTTGATGCATGATAGAAGGCTTCAATTTAATTTGAAATGGATTGGATTATCTTGTTGATATTTTGACTGAAATTTGGTCAGTTTTGGTCGGGATATGTGTATATTGTGTTGATTACTTCAATATAGCCATTATGATGCGAGTTAGTGACTAAAAGTGGAATACATAACTCTCATCTCGTCCAAAGCTAATGAAATCGCGGTGGAAATATCAACAACCAGATAATCCAGTCCATTTCAAATCTGATTAAAACTCATACCCGTTGTGCAAGTGAGTGGTTGCCGGAACTCAGTAGCTAAATGGCGTTCGAAGTAAACGGTACAGGGATGTAGTCCTGGAGTGAATATCAGTTTTGGGATACAGGCACACCCAACTGACAATAGGATGAAACACGCTTCCTGAATCCCACTGTTAGTCAATCGTCGTCTGTTGTATAATAAGAAGCCTCATTTACAAGCTATTGATAAGTATTTTGAAATACAATATTACAAAATAAATAGAAATATCTTCATTTACTATTATCGAACTAGTGTTTAAAATAAAAATAAAGCTTGTGTTCTAGCGAATTATAGTCTTGTGCTTGTTCGTTTACTTCTGGTATAATATATTATGGTATAATACGGTTTCCTAAAGAATTCATTAATATTATTTTTTCTGTTGACTTTTTGATTATCTTAAGTGTACTTAAAATTTCTTTGAGTACAGTTGGTTTGACTATATTGGAAGTCACGATAAGAATTACATCAGTTTCTATCCCCAATGAGTTTATGATTTCAGATTTCCGTTTTATAACCTTGTACAGTTCCTTTGAAATATTCTGTTGTTACTAAAGCATTATCTTTTGAAATCAGTCTATATATACAAAGATTTCTGAAAATTATCTGATCAATTTTTCAAGTGACATATTTATTTTGGTTCACATCTCCAAATTAGTCTGCAAAGCTGTAAAAATTCACTGTTTTGTCATCGAAGCAGATAAATTGTATGTATTCCATATCTAGTCTTGTTTTGTTGTTGATCTATGTTATTTTTCCTTAAAATTACCTTATGATTATATTCAATTTTAGAATGCGTGAATATTGGAGATATGGTTCGACCCAATGAACTACCTAATACTTGTCTATTTGTTTCTGTATCAACCTCACTGAAGAATAATTGGACTCCAGTCGGATCAACCGAGATAATTGAAGTAATTTGTGTGATTAATAACTTCATGAATCAGTAAATAAATCAAGTGGGAATCTTCTTTGTTGATAAAATTTCGTATCACAAAAATGGCTGTAAAATAATCAAAAAGTGATTCGTTTCAATACTAATAAGCCAGGTTTATGGTTAAGATAATTCTTATAATTGCTGCCTTAGTGCTTTTATTTTATTTTCAAGTCGGACTACACTTCCTATCAGAAAATTACAAACATTTTATCTATGCCATTAGTATTGTTTTTTATTTTCACTAGTTGTGTTATTATGATGACAGAAGTCACTATGATGATTGATCGGTGAGCATGTAACTTAAGGTAACTGAATAAATAGTTCCTCGCCTAACTTACAAATCTCATTGAAACGTGCAAAATTAGTGTCAAATCGTCCTCCTTACAGGTAATCTAAACTAACTAATGAAGAGGAAGATTATGTAACAAACAATAAGGCTGAGAACTTTAACTCTAGGCTTGTCATTAGGTTTGTTACTGAACTTGACTATCTAATTAAAACAGTCACTAAACGTGTTAGAATGCTGGCGAGATCTATGTAGTATTCATATTCCAAGTGATCCATATAATATCATTCTTAAAATCCTCCCGACAAAATATTCAACCTGCCAAGTAAACAAATTGTATGATTTTTATTCTGTATATCTTATACAATCTTCAACGTAATCTCTTCAGATGTACATCTATCTTGATACTAAAATGCAGGGATAATTCATATCACACTCTAATCTAAGGAGTTTGTTTCGTTGCATCATATATAGTACATTAATCACATTTATTTTATACAAGTTATTATTATTCCTAACAAAATAATCTCAATTTATTAATGGAGTACGTTAATTTGTTTTTCTATTCTTTTAATCTTCTTTACTGAATTTTTCATATCTTCTCAAATATTAAAACAACTTAAGAGTAGATATTTGCCAATCTAATGATTAGAGAAGGATAAAGTAGACAATATGTAATATATTTATACGGTTATAAAATTTTATGTTGTACCAACTGTGTGTTTCTCAAGAATTCTAATGAATTCTTTTACGTTGATTTGCTTTATCATCGATATTTAAAGATTATTATTTTAAATCCAGAAAAAAAAAATCAAATATAATGGTAGTGCATGCTGTTGGAAAATGTTCTCATTTTGAACGAATGATTAACTATTGTTAAGACTATGTTAATATTAAAATGTTTAAAGAAGTTTAAATATTAATTATTCTTCTTATCATCATGCTCAAATAAATAGAAAACTGAAATTCAATAAACACCTTCTTGTATTAGTGTTTCAACCATTCGTTCAGATATATATATATATATATATATATATATATATATATATATACATGTTAATGAAAATGTTTCAAACAATAGAAACATTTTATTTTTGCTTTTGCATGTAAATTCTACACAGGATAAGCTGGATGCTTTCAGCTCAATAGAATTTTCAAAGTGAAACAATTACAATAATCTTAAATGTTTGTTAATTTGTTATTACACAGGTTCATCAATTGACTGAAGGGAATTTAATAAAAATGCTCACTTTAGAAAGATTTTTTTTCATATCGACACCTTTATAATTTAAAAATTCGTGTAATATTTATGATATGACATAATTTGTCTTGTTTTTATTTTCACTTTTCTTAATCAGTTTATTGTATTACTGTTGTTCTAAAGATTCATAGCTAACCATTTTAGTATTTGAATTTCTATTTTATTGATTAGTCCCTGTTTTTTTACTCAGTCTACATCAAATACTATGGTAGATAATGGCTGGATATGTTTAAGGCAACGTAATCAGTACCAATTTGTATGATTGACTTATCCTAATATGATATAATTTTTTGCATTTCATCAACTCTTAACCGTTAATTCTATTGTTTTAGATAATATCTGTGGTTTTAAGAGGTTTATACTTTGTAGACTGTTAATCTATGCAAGCATCTAAAGTTAGTGCCTTACTATATATCATCATATCAAGCTAATCATTCAATTATCCATAAAAAAAATTTCTCATGGTAACACAGTTGTTTATGAATACCACATTATTGTCCAATGTTAATATTTCATTTTAGTCATAAAACCAGTTCACTTTGTTTTTATTTATTTTTGCTGTTGTATATTTAGCGGTCTCGAAATCCAGTCTTTTCAAAAACCATATTTCTACATCGCAATTTACTTAATGAAGATAATTTCATACGATTTAGTTTATTCGATATTAAAGATATGAAATCAAATGTTGTAAGTCAACTAATTTTTAAATTTCATTTATAACTTACTACAGGATTAGTGTGGATTTTCAAAATGACCGACCGTAGCTGCTACCTTGACGTGGTGGTCGGGCTTGCCTATCGTCATGACCCAACCGAGCTATACTAGCTGGAAAATATGTTCCTGAAGGTTCTACCATGCCAGGCAGGTCGATTGGAGAACGATGAGACTAAAAGCAGCTACAGAAGGTCTGAGAGCGAAGTCGTATTGATAACTGCAGAGGGGTGTGACAGCAGTAAGGTGTTTCCCTCGGACAACCATCATCTGCAGCGATGCTGCCTTCTCACAAGGAAAGAACGGTTAGAAAAGGTCGACCGTAAAAATGTCACACCTCACCCTACCTTACGGATTTCCGTCTCCGGCGGTAAGGGTGCCCACTAAAGGCTTTCAAGAGCGGAGCTAACACTCAAAATACTCATAAAAAGGCGATGTGTGACCGGCCTGAAGCAGTTGCACCTTGGACTCTGCATTCACGCACCCAGGTCTCTAAGACCAGTGCTAATCTACCTTCCTTTTCAGGTCCCTCAAGAAACAACCTTCCACGCTGTGGGCAGCCGGGAAGTGACAACCGCCCTCATACCCGTAACAGTAAGAGAGACCAAATTGGTCACAATCAAATCCTTTCTACATCTAACATCTCTCTTATCTCCACGACTAACTCTACTCACATTCCTTTATCACGCTGTACCGCTAATGCAAACGATGCGAGTTCACGAAACCTCATTTTTGGTCTCCTGAAACCCTGTTCTAAACCGCATGTTGGATCATTTTATGTACGGACGTTGCGTCAAATAGGGCAACAGGCTTCCTTAGCTAGGACTTTAGAATCTCGCCCAATCGATGTATGCTGCGTCTCGGAAACGTGTATACAGGTTTCTAGTAAAATTATTATTCTGATTTTACCTTATCAATATGAAGAAGCAGCCCGATTTACTCTTCGTCCGGTATTCATGATGCTGCTTCCAGGGGTCTCACTGGTGTAGGTATAGTATTGAGTCGAAGGGCAGAAATAGCTCTCCTAGAATCTGGGAACTGGACGTAATCACATCCGACTGGTCTCAATCACTGATTGTCCCAATCTATAAGAAAGGACAAAAGTCCTCTTGTGACAATCACAGAGGAATCAGTCTAACTAATATAGTATCTAAAATATTGGCCTCAGTAATACTTCGACGCTTAACGAAAGCTCGTGAAGATCAGACTAGAGAAAACCAGGCTGGTTTTCGACCTGAACGTGGTTGTATAGACCACATTTTCACACTATGACAGGTCCTGGAACATAGACACACATTTAGGCGTCCTACAATAGTTGTTTTCCTGGATCTTAAGGCGGCATTTGACTCAGTGGATCGTGAGGTTCTGTGGTAGTGTCTGTCATTGAGAGGTGTACCAGAGAAGCACATTAACCTCATACAAGCTTTCTACTCGAACACCACTGGTCGAGTGAGAGCTTATGTTGAACTGTCACCAGAATTCTTTACTTCAAGTGGTGTCCGTCAGGGATGTCCACTCTCTCGATTCTTGTTTAATTTTATCATAGACATGCTCCTAGAAATAACCTTATCGTCGTCTGAATTTTCAGGAGTAGACCTTCTACCAGGAGGCTCGCTTATCGACTAAGAATATGCCGATGACATTGTCCTACTTGGTGAAGACGCTGACAAAATGCAGAGTCTTCTGACCACCCTAAGCAACAATGCAAGCATGTTCGGGATGCGGTTCTCACCCTCGAAATGCAAAATGTTGCATCAAGATTGTGTTGCATTGGCACCTGAACTAGTGTTAGGGAGTGAAGTAGTCGAGCGTGTTGATCGCTTCACTTATCTTGGGAGTCTCATCAGTGCTGATGGCCTGGTGACTGATGAAATCTCAGCTCGGATACAGAAGGTTTTTGCCAACCTGCATCACTTAGGCGAAGGCGAGATATCCGTTTGCTGATTAAAGGACGCGTGTACTGCGCAGTAGTTTGCTCCGTCTTACTTTATGGCTGTGAAGCATGGCCAGTGAGAGTAGAAGATGTTCGTAGGTTACTGGTTTTCGATCATAAGTGTCTTCGAAGCATTGCTCGTATATCGTGGGACACCCGAGTGAGCAACGCTGTTATTAGGAAACGGGTGCTAGGTAAGAATGGCAGATCAATCGATGAAGTGGTGAAACTTCATCAGTTGAGGTGGTTGGGACATGTGTTGCGTATACCTAACCACCGACTGACTCGACGAGCTTTGTTTTGTAGTGTAGGAATAGGTTGGACGAAAGCTAGGGGCGGTCAAACCAAAACATGGCAGAAATCCATGAAGTCACTGACAAGTGAACTGAGTCATGTTTGTAGATGTAGGCTACTTGGTTGGGGTCTGCGAGACGAAAGTCACTAATGGTTAGAGACCCTGAACAACATGGCTCAGAATCGTTTGCAGTGGCGCAGCGGCAACCACTCTTTGTGTTCTGTCATATTCTAACCTGAATTCCTCATAATCTCTATCTTTCTCCTTCTAAATTTATCTCACTGAAATATACTTTTCGAATCATATCTTCGCTCCCTAATCTTCTGCATTGCTGCTAATAATTCTACTATCTCCTTCACTCTTGGATTTGAACTGACAGTTACGTTTCTGTGCTGATGTGTTATAGCAACCTGAACTGATGTAGTTACGTACGAAGTTGTGCGTTGTATCTGTCTGTCTATATATATTATTTCATGTTGTACACATTTAGTGATTGTCTTGATTATGACAAGTTTTTTTTTAACTACAAAATAATAACTTTATGTATAGGTGATATTCATAATGAATAAAGGATATACAAATGATTACACACTTTAGGCTGTATTGTGATTAGTGTAAAGTTATTTCATTATGTAATGGGTTGTTAGGATGAGATTTATGATCATTCCAGTTACAATTAGTTTGTAATTTTCATACCTTTATTTAATTGTTATCCTACTTTCATCGGTATTCATCTGTTTGTTTATCATATGGACTTAATTATTTCGCAGATTCTAAATGCTTTTCTTTCCAAATATTTTAAAAAAATCTTATTTAGAGTGCTTTACTAGGCGAAACAAGTATAACAATAAAACAATTATTACGTGGTTCATCTCTTTTGTTACCAGTATGTGACGGTTATTCTACTGTGCCTGTAAAATATGAAGGTTTAGAGACTGTTCCATCAATTATTGTACGATCAAGGAAACAAAAGTCATTGGATTCCACAACAGCTAAAGTAATTGGTGATCTGATTTTCTTTCGTTTTAAAGTGTATTATTTTTTGATTTTTTGTTATCTATTTGACTTCCATAAAATTAATAAAATGTTTTATTTTTTTGTATGTATAAACTGCTGAAACACACATACATTTGAATTAGTTGCAATCAGATGCATTCATTTACCTTTTTAAAAATCTTCCTTTCTTAGAATTTTGTAATATTTGTTTGCTTTTGATGTAACTCATTCACCTTATACATATTTGTGTACTCGATTTTGAGCCAAACTGTTTTTGTTAGTCAGTTATCTGACTGACTTACTGATACCACTCATCAAGCCAAATGGAAGTCGGTCAAGTTGGATTCGAATATGGAACCTAGTGGTTGAACGTTGAATTCTCCAACCAGTAAACTAACCATTCTAATATGTATTCACGTTACAGGTTCCTAATCTGTTGGCCATGGATCGGTTAGTAACAGCGATATAAATACAGTTCGTGTGTGATGAATAAGGAGCTTTAGTTATTTAGTCCCTATCCTAATGTTACAGTGAAAAATATTTCAGATTTTATTTTGGGAGATCGAAAATTAATCTATTTAAAGTTTCCTATTTGTTCTAGATGTTTTCCCTGCTATTCTTGCTTAAATGTTTTTTTTATCAACAGTATAAGGTTTTAGTTGTTGAATTTCATTGAAATCATGACCCGATCAATGTTAGATGACCATTGAAAACGTAAGCGGGGCCATGGATGCCTCCTACTATTAGGGAGTCCCATACTAGGATCAGATACCCGTCTAATGCTTCCAGGTTTTCAATGGTGGTCTAACATGATGAAATGTCCTTAGTTGTAAAATATTCATCCCAACGCTTTTTCTGTGTTAAATAAGTTTCAAATATAACTTTCTAGTACTTTGTACTCTTGAAAAACTACTGCTATTTCCTCTCTATGTAGACAGTTACTTATAAGCATATTACCATCTTAATCCAGGTGTTTTGTTAAAAGAGTATAATTGTTACGAGAATTTAATTTACTTGCTATCGGCATATCTCATTTAAATGACAACATTTCTGAATTTATCGATTGTTAGCGCTTGTTAGTCGTAGGAAAATCTTTTGCTTGTTATTTGTAAAAGTGGTTAGTTAATTTTTTGTAGACCAACTTGTCAATCACATGTTCTAAGTTCTTAACTAATTCAGTGTATAAAAAAATCTAAAGTGTCAAACCATCAAAAATTGTTTCTTAGTCAACTTAGACTAATATTCTTAGATCAGAAATTTACTGTCATAATCAACGCATCGATAATCAATTATTCATGTAAACTATGTGACTTGTATCTCACTTTCGTTTACATTATGTTGTTTCCTCCATATTCTTAGTGTATTTGATTTTGTCAGTTTTTGTGTAAACACTTAGACATTGTAAAAGTCGGTAACAAAATATACCTGGGCCACACATCATTGGATTTGTATGTGGAATGAAATACTAGTAGGGCGCCCAAACCGAAGCAGGCGGTTTTCTTTGACAGTCGCTCCCCAAACTCTCCATCTGATGGTCTAATCTACAAGGCAGCAGATCGTCATTAAGAGATGCACTTAAATAGTAGTCGATAACCAAGAATAGGTCTATACACCATTTGTCCCCTCAGAAACGTGAAACACCTGTACACCAGCAGTTTGGGGCCAGGGTTTTCTAACTCTTCTAGGTAGACCCTCTGTACCTGCTGACAAGGTTTAAGCGCCCGACATTCGTTTTTATCCTCAATTTCATAAACAGCATCGCGAGAAGTGAGTGAGTAAGAAATCATTGACAGTGGCTATTCATGCGTAGTCATGCGAGAGCATTTCGAGCGAGAGAGCGGACTTTCCCCACTCCCAGCCGTACTAAAGCATATGGTTTCTCTAATTACAAACTATGAGATCTGTCTAGCGAAACTGAATAATAATTATACTAATTATAGTGTAATCAGTGTCTTCCTTTTTCTGTATGCGAGTTGGTCATAATACTTAGCTGTTTGTATTATATCACAAAGAGCTTGATTTTGAATATGCATCTGAATAGTGAAAAACGAGTGCTTTGATTGTTGAGCCACCATTTTAGATGGTGAGTTCCTCATCCTTGTTTGTAAAAAATTTGAATTTAAATCTACTTAGTTGTGTAAGAGGACAATAAATAAATAAATTTAGAATGTTTAATATATTCCAGTTTATTTGCAATATATCATCACTTATCCTATGGATATCAATTAGAAATTCTTACTGTTGTTTCATAACTTGAACTAATCTATTTGATCTTGTGTTAATACTCTCGTTTTCTCGACATTGGTCTATTTTATTTACAGTTTAGTAAACGGATATATGCATGTTCGTTTGATTATATTACCATCATAAATATTTTGAAATTTTAATTGTGAGCTAATCATGTACTTAATTGTTTCCAGATTGATGCCAATTTGCTATCATTACGTTCAGTATGTGATAATTTGTTGTCTAAACGATACCAATTTCAAGATTCATTGGGTGAAACAATGCATATTATTGAATTTATGGGCGAATCACGGCTATGTTATGCTTTCCCGATAGAATATTTGTAAGTTTAAACTACTAGTATCAGTTTCTCTTTCTGTCAACTGTTACAATCAAAATATATAATGACAAAGTTAGTCAGTTGACTCTTTTCCCTAGTTAATGGTTGCGTTTCGTTGACTAAACAACGCAAAAGTAATTCTAGACAGCTGTTTTGAAGATATGTTATTGCTAATAATCAGAAAGATGTTTCCTCTAATAGAGTTATGAAATCAAGATTTACGGTGTATTTTTAAAAATATAGCCAAATAATGAAGGCAAAAGTATTTGATTACAATGTATTACTTTGGATGGATCAAGCCTGATACTATTATTGAAAATGTACGTACATATATAATGATGTAATAATCTGTCTCTATACATAATTTTTGATAAATTGTGTTTGCTCCGAAAAGCAACTTGAATTCCTAGGTTAGAAACTAATCCTCTACCATTTACAAAGTAATTTGATGTATCCCCTACTGTCACAATTAGTTCTTTTATGAAGTTATAGGAAACTGAGATCTTTGATTTAACAGGGGCAAACGAGAAAACTCTAAATACATTAATAAAACGAGATCAGTTGATAGCTACTATTCGATATTTGGGCAACATTTTCAACGTTAGTAACAAACTATAATTGGTTATAAACTTTGTAAGAGTGTAATATCAGTGAACTATTTATGTATAGTCTGTATAGCCTGTGATATATATATATATATATATATATATATATATATATCACATTAATATTCTTTTCCATATTTCCCAATTGTTTTTCCATAGAAAGACTTTAATTAAATCAGAATATTTGTTATATGATTCGTTATCCCGAGCTGGATCGGTAAGATTTTGTTTTAAAGTTTGGATTCCGATTTGTTTGTATCATTTGTTTTAAATATCATCAATCCACATTGAGTTTCTTATGCGTTTTTTGTTATGTAATTATTATTATAAGGTCAAATATTGTATAGATTATTGTCTTGTGAACGCTAACTAAAATCTCGTGCCAAACCACCAATCAGGACCTTTGATACTAATTTGGTCGATTTTGCGTCTACTATTACTGTGGTAAAGGTGCAGTAGACTGACAGTTTTGAGTCAGCCAATCAGAAGTAGGATGGAATTTCATGCCTTGTGCGAAATTTAAAGTACAGTGATAAATAGCTTGTCTGTTATTATTAAATGAGTAAAATTTGGCCATATTTAGTTCCTTAAAACGCTTGAAATTGTTACAAATAACTATTATGCGACCAAGAAGTAAATTCAAGATTATACTTTAGCTAAATTACTGAATGCTTGTTCCTAAGGGAAACTGTGTGTGAAAGCATTTGACGTGTTATTCATTGCGTAATCAAGAGTGCATAGTGAGGCTAGATAGTTTTCTCCCGTCCAAAATCTGAATCTAAATCTCAAAACATAAGAATGACAGATCACTGTATCATAGCTGATGTCAGTTCATGATGAAAACTGTGGGCTAATAACCCTAACACTCAGCCGATTATTTATGTGCAAACCTAACCTTTTTCTTTTACTACAATGTATAATTCGACTTAAGACGGTTGATTGTTCAGATTAAAGCTACTATTCCACTGTTATTATACTACTTCTTGCTTTCAACTGTTTCATAATTGGGTAGCGTTTCCTAATAAGCTGGTAGGTCGCTCGAGGTCGTCAGTGTAGTATGCTTTTACCGGTACTTCGTAGCTTGTAGTCTCTGACGTGGCCAGTTACACGTCGACGACAAAATAAGCTTCATAATCCAACCAGTAGGATGCAACACAAAAAGTTGAATTACCGTCTTGGGATAAATAAATAGATGAGTTTTTATGGTAACATTTATTTTGAACCAGTATATTTTTTTTCACTTCATTAAAATTTACCATTACTATTTTCTCACTGTTTTTTTCTTTATCCCACCAGTCGAAACCACTTATTGAAAGCTTGCGAAAAGAGCGACTAATTAGCATGAAACAAACATTAGAACGGTATGAAGTTAGCCTAAGAAATTTAGTGGATTATTCTGGTGTGTTTATGTATTTACTGAATAAATGTGTTTTTTTTTTAATGATGATGATGATAATATGATATATATTACTTATTTGCATTGTTACTTGTTTTTGTTATTGTAATTGCATTCACTACTGTCAGTTGAATTCGATTAGTCTACTTTATTTTTACTTTTGAAATAGGCAAACCATGTAACGAATGTGCGTATTGACATTTGTTCATAGTTTTATAGAATCATTCATATATTTTGATAGAATATATATATACATATATATTTATGAATTGCAAAGTATACATTATTTTGCCAAATTTTTATATTGTTGTTATCTAAATCAATCTGTTATATTTTTTTTTAGTAACAAAACACAACAAAAAGTACTCTCAGTTTCGTTTTTGGAAATAGTCTAGTTTTTCACGTGATCAGTAAACTAGGAAACACTTAATTATTAATTAATAATAATTAAATTCATACTGTAAAATCTATTTTTTTCCTTGTGCTCTTAGTTGACAATGTCATGAAAAATGTTAACAAATTAATGTTTCTTTATCTTTTCACTAACTAAATTCATTTGTAAGTGTATGTATTTGACTGACTGTACTATTCTGGATTACTTAAATGATTCTACTAACTAAACTGGATTTACTGAAGTCATGTTTAAACTTACTGTCTAATGATTGAAAATTGAATAATTAGAACACAGTAGGAATTGGTAAATGCATCTAATAAATATATTCTTTATATCTTGTATACTTCAGTTTATTAATTTTCTTCGTACAAATATTTTGAATAATTTAGTTAAAATATCGTTAATTAAATAGCTACAATGCAATAAAATGACCCGGTTTTCTGATATTGTTCAACTACACAGCAAGTCCAATATCCACACGTGCTGGAGTGGAGGCTGTGCAATAGTCTATTAAACAAAAAGCCTTCGATGTTGTGTTTGTTATTTTTTTGTTAACTAGATATAGATAAATTAGAATTCTATAATTTTTATCAGCAGAGATGGATGGTGGCTAGCAGTGGAACTCAGGACGCGCGTTTCATCTTGTTTAGGACTCGTCAGCTGGACTTACTTGCATCCGCTCCATGACGCGAACCCTGTACCGTTTGCTTTGAACGCAATCGCGTTATCTGCTGAGTCCATATAGCCACTGGCTTGTGCAAATGGGTGAATTTTCAACTAATGTACTGTCTATTTGAATATGCACATCACCTGTGGATGATTCAAACAGCCAATATATATTTGAATTAGTTATTTGTACAGTCGTATTTAAACGCATTAAGTTAAGGATTTTCGAATTTTCAACTAAATTATCTTACAGAAATTGATGTACGTTCCTATCAAACGAATAAACAAATAATTAATTATTCTTCCTCATAATATCAGTAGTAGTTGCCTTGAGATTCTGCCTCCTGGTTTCTTATTTACATACAATCGACGATAGCCAACAGTAGACAACTATTCAGACTCATCAAGGAAACCGATATTAGGAATTCAACTGTAAGTGAGACTATCTCGAAAAAGGAATGTCTTATTATTCATTCTCAATCTAGGAGATTAGATCGATGGGCAGAACACTTCAAGGATCAATTCAATTGTCCTTCAGCCACACTGCGGTTGCCCATGATCTCCAGTCATCCTGAATGGCAAATCGACGTAAGTCCTCCGACTCTTTATGAAGCCGAAAAAGCTGTCGGAAATCTGAAGCGCGGGAGAGAGGCTGGCTCTGATAAATCTACCAGTGAGATTTTTATGGATGGTGGTCCAGTTTTAACAGTTAGATTGACTGAGATCTATGGTATAATTTGGGAACTATGCTTTTCTTTGTAGGAATAGGTTGGACGAAAGCTAGGGGCAGCCAGACCAGAACGCGGCAGAAATCCATGAAATCACTGACAAGTGGATTGAGTCAAGTTGGTAGGTGTTGACTACCTGGTTGGGGTCCGCTAGGAGGAATTCACCAATGGTTAGAGACCTTGAACAACATGGCTCAGAATCGTTTGCAGTGGCGCAGCGGCATCCACTCTTTGTGTTCTGTCATATTCTAACCTGAATTCCTCATAATCTCTATCTTTCTCTTTCTAAACTTATCTCACTGAATTATACTTTTCAAATCATATTTTTGCTCCCTAATCTTCTGCATTGCTGCTAATAATTCTACTATCGCCTTCTCTCTTGGATTTGAACTGACAGTCGCGTCTCTGTGCTGATGTGTTATAGCAACCTGAAGTGATGTAGTTACGTACGAAGTTGTGCGTTGTATCTCTCTGTCTGTCTGTCTATAGGTAGGTGCAATGTCCGCGTGATTATCGTAACCAAAGGTTATTCAACGGGTTATAGGGATTCACATTGTTCATAGTGGAGAAGATGCATTCACTTTTTGAATTCCCTTAGATGTTATACTTTCTCGTATTGTCATTAGATTGATCCCATATCTCGAGTCGTATCTTTGATGCTTAATTTTTTCCACTACCTCCAATAATTTTACTACTAGGGATCCTTTAACAGTTTTTTCTCATTGTTCTAATGAAGTATTGCAACTTGCACCGACGTTTACATGGTGTTACTTTGTGAATGACTGAATGATTGCTTGAAATACTCTTTTTCTAGTATTCCCTTGTGTCTATACCTTGATTTTTCGAGAACTTTTGGTGTTGAACATAAAGTATGTATCACAACTATTAAAATACGTTGCATCTGAATTTTTTTGGTATTTACTACATATACTCCACCTTTTAATATTGTTAAAATCTTTTTATTAAGAATGCCGTACGTATTTCACATTCAACTTTCCATCTTTATAATCGTTGGTCAGTTTCGATCGCTAAGATGAAGTCAACTAATACAATGTAAATCAGTACATAATTATTTTTAATAGGTTGTTGTTTCAATTTTAACCAATATCATATATTTATACAAATTTACTTTTTGTGATTTGAACATTTTGACTTAATTTGTAGGTCCTCTCTTCAAACCGTCTAATGAACGTGCTAATCCTCGTTACGATTTTGTCCCAACCAATCTTCATGTTAATCAGATAGCCTTAACAGATATAGATGGCCAACTAGGTAAGGTTTAAAGAACACGTTATTACTATTTTCTTTCGGGTTTTAATGTGTTGTCGTGCGTTAGTGAGATGATTTGTATCTACTGTGATTTGATTAGTTTTCGTTTTATCTGTTCCTATAATTTTGCTATTATCTTAATGGACTCAATTGATAAATAAATCTACTGTTAAAGGGCAAACTTTTCACTCATCGGTAGCTTGACAGAGACCATTGGCTGATTGAAATAAAATAGGATTTAATGATTATGATGTTCTCTATACTTGAGCACTGTTAAGTTTGACTTTTTTAACAGCTTTAATTCCATTTATCGTTTAGGTGTAATTATTTATTTCTATCTACAATACAGGCAAAATATTTTAATTGGTATACATTTATATCAGAAATGTTATAAATAGATATTATCTAGTCTATACACTGTTTCCTAAGGTTGTGAGTAATATTTTGTATATCATATATGAAATACTACAGTCTACAAAATATCAATACATTGTTCAATAATGATCAATGAATCGAACGGTGGTACATTCAACTGTCAACTATTGTGTCACACATGTTTGAACTCCACCTCATCTACGTCAGTTTGGACATTTTCTCAGTATCATTATTCACACAGTTAAAGTATTCCTGAAAGTTCAGTACATATCAGTGTGTTTGCCAAATGGGTTACTATTATTAGGAAAATAAATAGTCAGCAGGAAAACTAGCAGAAAAATTCTCAAATACTGTTCAAGCTTACTGAATAGATCTGGATCGCATAATTCGGGCGACCTTCAGTCCGAAAGTGTATACTCTAAATAAGAAGTCGAAGAAGTGGATGATACACTCACTCCTGTCACTGTTTCCAAAGAAACAGCTGTAATGGAATTATAGGCTACCATGGATATATTTTACCACTTTTCTGGTATTTATTCAGAAGTACAACCACGAATAACTAATTTGGTCGAAAAATGAATATCTTCTTAGTATGCAAATATGAGAAACTTCTGAAGCTGTGTAGACCACTGAGAATTCAAGCTTCTTAGAAAGCACTTACTACTATAGTTTTTTAAAGTGATGATTCTAGTGAATGCATATCCTCATGTTTTATATCTTCTTTGAATCTATGTTAGTTAAAAACAAAATTTGATGTCTAACTGCATAGACAGTAAGAACACATGTTACTTAACGTTGTGATTATTCTACTTATTTATTTCTTGTATTTTTTTTAGCTTAACAAACAGTTGTTTATTTTGTTAGGTGTAATAATAATGTAACTTAGTAGCAGTTAAATATTTCCTTTTCAATCATTTGATCATGGACACGCATTGCCTGTTGTACTTGTACATATGTTTAAGCATCCGGAAATAATTAAGTTTCTCACAATAATTCAAGTTTATAACCTGTTATTTAATGCAATGAATCATGAAATTAATTTTAATGAAAAATTATTTCCAAATAAATAAATAACTACTTATATTTATTTTCATAATTTCAGTTGGTCAGTTATATCTGATTAATTTTTGTGTAATTATTGAAAAAAGTATCTTAAAAGGTTTTGTTAACTGTGAAATTCCAGCAATAATAATAATAATAATGATATGTCATTTAATGTATCAGCCAAAATAAATTAAGGTCTTCTTAATTGTTCTTTGTTAGCTTAAATCCTATTGATTGTTGTAAGCTTAATAGATTAGATTTGTGAAGTTGATCAATAGTTGGAAACTTTTAATGTTATACATAGAATTGTAAATTATACTTTTACCATGTCTTGTTTGGTTTAATCAGTGTGTTATTCACCTGATCTCAAAGAATTGTGTTAAACAGAATAAAAGATTATTGTTTGTTATAGAGTTGTATGATTTATAATATAATTATTAAACTATATAGGAATACATCCTACCTGTTATTAACTAAATTATTCTTACTAGAAGTAAAAGTGTTTTAACTATAGAAATTTACTCAGTTTTACATCACTTAAGAAGTAACAGAAAACAATGAGTTAGTGAACACATGAATAAAGATGAATGTAGGGTAAAATTACATCAACAATGTATCTGTTCTCTTACTACGCGATCTCTTAAAAATATGAATGTAATGATTGGTGTTAATTAGTTGACAACACAAATCAATAGCTTATAATGTACATAGCTAAATGTGTTATTTACAATTACTCTTAGGTTTTAACGTTACTATATTATTTTAAAACATAAATAAATCTTTTTAATGAAGCTCAAGAGTATAAACATCTGTTTCAGTGATGTAATTGAAAAAATTTGGTGTCAATTAGACTCATTTTCTTCCATTTTACTTGAATCTTCAATTAAGTGTCGTTGTATAGTTTTCATTTTTCTGACTACATTTATTCCCTGTAAATAATGTTTCTTATTTTCGGATTTTTTTAATTTCCTTTCATTATTTGTTACTTTGTACTGTCCTCGTTTTGTTAATTTTCTCGCCTCTCCTTGGACTGTTATGATATGCGACAGCTTCGATCAATACACATTCTACACTAATCTGTTTATTTTTTTGAGTTATTTTCATAGTAGAACAGAAACTCAGTCTATTTATAATCTGTCATATGTTACAAACATGATGATTTCTTGATATTTAGAAATGTCCAATTTAATCTAACTTTTTCATATTGATTTCTTCTTTATTTATCTGTTTCTTTTTTTTCTCTCCTAAATTCAGTTTCGTCGCATAATATTATATCGGTTGGTGCATTTTCATTGGCCTCTGGACGTTATAAATCTGGTGGTTTATTTCGTTTGGCATTCGATACGATGACTACACCAACACTTACATATCCACCTTCAGAATTATCTTATTTAAATATATCATCAGAATCACCTGTAGCTGCTGCTACATGTCTTTTAAATACAAAACCAATTGGTAAAGCTATGGATCTGTTATATCGTGGAACACATTCTATTGCTGTATTAAGATCGGATTTAGAAGGTCTTATTCAAAGGTTAAATGCACCGGGACAAGCTGAACCATTAGCTCATCGTATGCAAAAAGCTGTAAGTTTTAAACCAACTTCTTATCTTTTTTTCTTGTATTTTGTTATATATAAAGAAGTTCATTGCAAGTTATCATTTTGTGCATTCTTCAACAATTATGAAAAAAAGGACAATTTTTAGTAAATAATTAGTTAATCTGCCTAATTGTATGTTGATTTGATAATATGCACATATTACTTGTAGTGTGATTATGTCTTTTTGAAAGGAAAAATAGATGCTCTTTTACTTTTACAAATCATACTCATAATACATTTCAAACATTTTGTATTTTCCATCTAGATATTATGAAATTGTATTCTATCATCGGTTTTCTCTATTATAATTTTATTATCTGTCTACTAGTAGACATAGCCGTCTTGCTATTGAGGAGTTTTAACGGGGGCAATTATTTACTTCTTAATACAATCTTCAAAACACTGTAACAAATTTCAATCACAATATTTTTGCTTGAAATGTATTCAATGATCACTAATCGTAAAATTATTATTATTATTATCATTATTATTATATTAGATTTATGTTTAATATTTTATCATTTCTTATGTACAAAAAATATTCATAAACGATAAACTATTTCATTAAAGTTAAATTTCATTTAGGTACTGGAAATTCTTTTCTTGTTTAGTCTCTTTATTGATGATGAAGCAAACTGTTCTATTTCAAGATGATGAATTAAGACTAGTTGTTATAAACTCGAAATTTGTTTGTAACATTTGATGAAGTAGTGGAACTCCATCAGGTGAGGTGGTTGGGACATGTATTACGTATGTTTCTGGTGTAGGAGTAGGTTGGATGAAAGCTATGGGCGGCCAGATCAAAATATGGCACAAATCCATGAAGTCACTGGCATGTGAACTGAGTTATGTCGGTAGATGTAGGCTACCTGGTTGGGGTCCACAAGACGAAAGTCACCAGTGGTTAGAGACCTTGAATGACGTGGCTTAAAATCGCTTGCAATGGCATTGATTCACTGTGTTCTTTCGAATTCTTACCTACTGAATTCTTTATCATCTCTATCTTTCTCTTTCTAAATTTATCTCACTGAATTATACTTCTCGAATCATATCTTTGAACACTAATCTTTTCCATTACTGCTAATACTTCTACTATTGCTATCACTCTTGGATTTGAACTGACAGTTGCGTCTTAGTGCTAATGTGATATGGCAGCCTGAATTTATGTACGTACGTTCGAAGTTCTACGTTGTAACTGACTGACTGACTTTATCATTATTATTATTATTGCTATTACTTTAATTATCATTCTTATTACTTCTGTTACAGATTCTTAGTATAATGTGCCGTTATATATTTGAAAGAATATGTAAATATGGATTGCTTAAACTTACCATTTCAATCAATTTGTTTATCTGTAGAAGTTCAAATTTTTCTCCGTTGAATTTGTATTCTCTACTCTAAATAGTCTGTAAAATACTTATTTTAAACTGTGATCGTCAGTTAAACGAGGGCAGTTATCTCATTCCGAATTCATTTATCTATTCTTAGTTGATGGTTTGAGTAAAAACTGACTTAGTTTATTTTATTCTATTTTTTTGTATTGTTTTTTAATAGGTTTCTAAGATTTTTGTTACTAAATAGATCTTTTTTCATTATAGGGTTGTGGAGATTGTTGAGTTTCATTAAAAACCAATCACTGTTATACTATCATTAGAAACCTAGAAGCACTGAAAGACCGTATTGTCGTAGTATGGGGCTCATCAACAATACGCATCTACGACCCCCACATACAGGACTGTAACCTTAGGCCTTCGGACTAGCGTGCAAATGCTTAACCTCTAGACCACCGTGCCTGCACCCAACTTCAATCGATCCACAGTATAGCATCATCTCATCAACTGTCCTTGTTGGATAACTGCCTCATACCCTACATGATTGAACTTCATTAGTGACTAGCTTCATGAAGAAGTTCTCGCAGTTCTAGTGAGAAGCCATGATCAGTGGATTTTAACTGTATCGGGTGTGAGACAGTTACTCATTGAATCCAATTGATAAGATCGCACAATATTATGGTTTGATTGAAGTTAGACATTACCACCGTTGAATTCCGGCTCAGTGGTCCAGATAATTTTGTCAAATAAATCAGTCGAATAATCTCATTATTCTAATATACTGTTATAATTATTGTTGCTATTATGAATATTGTTCTAAATCTTAGCATAAATAATTATCAATAAATACCTTTTTTTTTGTAGATATCTTCCATACAATGGATATTTTCAGACAAATTATTATCTAAATTAAATGTTTTACCAGTTGTCTCATGTGATTTCGAAGTGATTATTGGTTTACTTTCACAACTATCGTCAATTGAAATAATGAAATCAACCAGTTCTCAGTAAGCACAAATTCTCATATTAACTAAGTCATTTCCTTTGTCCTCATTTCATATATAATCATTTTTAAAATGATGCTTTTTATGAATTTTTGACCACATTAATTAGAATTGTTTATTAATTATCAAGAGATTATATAAGCACTGAATGTATTATAAATCAATCATTTAACATTAGAACGATTTTATTCAATTGGAATGAATAAACATCCTTCAAAGTACTTCTTCTTCTATTAAGATTTGTGTAGTTGTCAAACGATGTTAAAATTGATAAAGATAATTGCATTCAGCTGTTTTACTTGTAAATATCATTGAGAATACTGATCATATTAAATTCTTCAACGGATCCACTTCATTCCACACTTATAACTTCGTGTATTATATATAAATGTCTAGAATTTGATCATCAGTTCATCTAAATGATGAAATATTAGTGTGATATAATTTCTCAGTTGATAAAAAGTTATTTCTCGAAAAAAAATATTATATTGCTATTTTAGATTGAAGCTACTGTCTTGAATACTATAGAATTTCGTGAACTTTGATTTTTAATGTAGAGTTTCACCTGACTTGACCTATTGGATGCAACTGTTAGATCATATCTTCAACTTGAAACCCATACATTTGTAATTTTCACACAATCCATATCTTTATCATGGATTGAATGTTAGCACCTCTATAAATAGTCTATAAATTTAAAATTACCACCTATTCAACTGTTCCAACTAAATATTATTTATCAGTGATATGATGTTACGGATATTTCATATAAGTGCTGAATCTAAAATTCACTTTGAAATTCATAGCTAACTAACACTTGATTCGATTTAATTATCTCGTTCCTGTCTCTCTTTCTCTCTCCCCTCCACCCGCACACATTGTCTTTCGATGATACATTCCAATTTTTACTGTCGACAATTTATCCCCAATTAATACATTAATTGAAATCTTGAGTAATTGGCATTCATTCTTTAATACAATGTTATGTAATTTGAATAGCATTGTTTTTGATATGGGTAATATCGAGTATTGACCTGTTAATTGTATTAATTTCTACGTGGATTTGACATTTTTTCTAAAATAAAAGAATGTAGTTTTAGTTTATTTGTATTTTTTATTTCCATTTTATTAAATCTATTAGACACGTACAAACCAGTGATCATGTAATAGTTGTAAATAAAAAGAAAAATGAATCACGTGAAAATTTAATCAATTCTCTAGATAAAGCTGGTCAAAAATTATCTTCCACTTTAGAACGTATATGGGATAGTGTAACTTCAGTGTTATGGGATCTTGTTTTATCAGGTCTGGCTGATTTATTAAATCAACAAAATCTCTCTGTAAACAAAGAAGGCAATGGTAATTATTCTGATTTAATTAGTGAAGCAGAACGTATCGCTTATCCTAATATGTTACCAATAAATGATAATATGCTTACGGCTGTATCAGTTATTCAAGATTCATTCAGTTATCGACATCATGCATGTGTTTGTCAGGTAGACTATTCAATAATAATGTTTGATTGATTCATTCTCTTTTAATTGATACAATTTTATCTTTTATTATTTTTCTTGAGAGATACAACTTGCAGGATATAATTTAGTGGTATAAATCTACGGTAGGATTTATTATTTACTCAGTTTGATAATCGAAATTCTCATGTCAGTCAGGAATGATGTTTCGTGAACTCGCATCGTTTGCATTAGCGGTGCAGTGAGATAAGGGAATGTGAGTAGAGTTAGTTGCGAAGAGAAGAGAGGTATATGTGGGTCTCGTGTGCTGTTACGGGTATGAGGGTGGTTGTCACTTCCCGGCTGCCCACACCGTGGAAGGGTGTTTCTTGAGGGACCTGAAAAGGAAGGTAGATTAGCACTGGTCTTAGAGACCTGGGTGCGTGAACGCAAAGTCCAAGGGACAACTGCTTGAGGCCGGTCACGCACGGCCTTTTTATGAAAGGTTTTTCGAGGATTAGCTCCGCTCTTAAAGGCCCTTAGTGGGCACCCTTACCGCCGGAGATGGAAATCCGTGAGGTAGGGTGAGGAGTGACACTTTTAGGGTCGACCTTTTCTAACCCTTCGTTCCTTGTGAGAAGGCAGCATCGCAGCAGATGCTGGTTGTCCGAGGGAAACACCTTACTGCTGTCACACCCCTCTGCAGTCATCAGTACGACTTCGCCCTCCGACCTTGGGTAGCTGCTTTTAGTCTCATCGTTCTCCAATCGACCTGCCTGGCATGGTAGGACCTGCAGGAACATATTTTCCAGCCAGTATGGCTCGGTTGGGTCATGACGATAGGCAAGCCCGACCACCACGGGCAGCAGCGACCAAGGTAGCAACTACGGTCGGGGGGGATGATCCATAATGTAGCAATTTGGTCAGTACACGATCGATCCTTAAAAAATTCAGAATGTCGATCTCGAAGTTGGGCGTCTACGAAGTCCTTCATTTTGTTTAACAACACCCTGTTGAAGACTTTGCCTGATATCGAGAGAGGAGTGATGCTTCTGTAGTTCTCACACTTGCTGAGACCGCCTTTCTTTGGTATTTCGATGAGGTATCGTTGTTTCCAGTCTGTGGATGTGGAGCGTCTTTGCAGTTACTACTACGCCTGCCTTTGGTAGTTCTGCTGGAATGTTGTCTGGTCCCGCTGCTTTGCCACTCATGATTTGCCTAATGGCCATGCTGATCTCCTCAATTGTAGGTGCGCCAATATTAATTGGGAGATCCGTAGATGCTGCTTCGAAGTTGGGTGGGTTCAGTGAGGTTTGTCGATTCAAGAGTTCCTTAAAGTGCTCTTCCCACCTATTTCGCTTTTCTACAATATTGCTGATTACTTTGCCATCCTTGCTTTTCACTGGTCGTTCTGGTTTACGATAGTTTCCGGCGAGCTTCTTTGTTGTATCGTACAATTGTCTCATGTTTCCTTCTCTTGCAGCATTTTCAGCCGTCATTGCACCTTTGTCCAGTATTTCTTGAGTTTTAGTTTCATTTTGGCGACCGGTAAGTGGTGATCTGAGGCTATGTCAGCTCCTCTCTTGGTGCTCACGTCCTCCATGCTCCTTCTGAACTTTTTATAGATACAGATATGGTCGATTAGGTTCTGAGTAGTGTGATCCGGTGAAATCCATGTACCTTTGTGGATGCGTTTGTGTGAGAATATAGTGCCACCGATGATCAGTTTGTTGAAGGCACATAGGTTTGCAAATCTCGCATCATTTTCGTTCCTTACTCTCAATCCATGTCGTCCCATGATATCTTCATATCCAGTGTTGACCATGCCAACCTTGGAATGTTTGTCTCCCATTAGAATTGTTAAATCCTGTGGTGAGCATCTGTCAACGATTCACTGCAGCGTTTCGTAGAATTGATCTTTAACGTCGTCATTGTAGTCATTGGTAGGTGCATAACATTGGATGACGTTCATTGTAATGTCCTTGTTCTTTGTTTTGAAGGATGCTTTAATGATCCTGGGTCCGTGAGATTCTCATCCTCTAAGTGCCTTTTGTGCTTGTTTGGACAGCCTTAGTGCCACTCCTTGTATGTGTGAAACATTTTCTTCTTCATGACCGGAGTATAACAACAGCTCCCCTGAAGCTAGTCTCAGTTGTCCAACTTGCGTCCAATGCTTTTCACTGATTCCAAGCACTGCCAGGTTGCGTCTTTTCATTTCTACCGCAATTCAGGACAGTCTTCCGGTCTCCAAAATTGTTCGACTATCACCTGTACCTAAAAGAATGGTTGCTCTGATTGTCAGAAAGGGCATTGGCTTCGTGACTTCCGAAGGAACTGGACTTTCAGTATTAGGCGTTATAATTCTTCTGAAAGAAGACCTTCTAAATTCCAGGGCAGAGTTAAAATGGTTTGAATTATGTTTTCTGGTTAGCTTTTTTTAGCGAGTTTGTTTTCTTCATAAGATGGGTTCGCCAACCCCATGCCCAACGCTTTTTTATCCGGGTTGGCGACCGGCGGAGTTGTACTAATTAGTAATTAACACCTGATTTCTATTTTATGTTCGATGGAACCTATTAGTCATTCTTAGATCCAATAGTCGTTTTCTCGGTAGGAATTCGATTTCAGGATTTCTTAATGTGATAATCGGTTTAAAAAAGAATATTTTCATAGATGTTTTTGAATATGCGTTGATAAATATCAATTTTTTACCATTATCTTTCAAAGTGTTTTAATAATACTCATGAAGTCGAATTATTTTCTTGATAAATATAGCTTTTAACCGCAGTTCTTACGGCATTATCAATGCATATACCTCGATGGGATCGAAAAGATTGGGAACAAGCGGCTGTATGTGGCGTTCTGGCTCATTTTGAAGGGCTTCTAAGCTGCTATGGTGATGAACAAGGAATGATTGAGGATTGGGCATGGGCAATTGATTATTTGCTGACGTATCGTGTTACACTTCGTCCATCTAGTAACTTTTCCGACTCTATGATTGATATGAACGGAAGAAATTCCGAAAATAGTGGCTCAAATACTTCTGCCTCAAGTTATGGTGCTTCTGAAAAGTTTCATCCAGATTTCAAAGTCACAAGGTTGAACGAATGTGAGGTATCCTAACAGATTTCTAATGTTCCCCTTCACAACAATGTTTTGACTTAAGTCATCGTTTAAATATATTTTGTTATCATCCATTAAATTTTTAGTATTATTTAATATAGTTGGTATTGTCATTAATTGACAGTTAGTAGTAGTTATTGTTATTTATCATCTATTCGTTTCTTCATCATTGTGTTATATTTTTCAGCTTTCTGTTCCTTGGAGATCATGGGTTCATGCTCCATCAGAAATTCAAGCTCGTGGTCGTGTACGAATTCGTTTACATCCTGTTTCATTTGTAGTTGGAATCAATGAATTACAATCAGTTGCTGAAACGTAAGTGTATTTCGGATTCTTGAACTACTAACAAACATTTTAATATAAAACTAACTTGTTCCTTCATCATCGAAATTTATATTTGATTGATTTAATTTTATTAGTTTTATGACTACTAGTCATATTTTCATGCAACCTGTATCCTTTTTCGTCAATTTTGAAGATTTAATAGTTATTATTCAATAGGTATTTTAATATTTACTGTACTCTTTAGGGTGTTTCTTGAGCCGCTTATAACTTTGTTAAATATATAAAATGCGAATTGATCATTAACTTATTAATTGAAACAATAACCTTTCAATCGATACAGGTCACAGGTTCAACACTACTTCCATCTGCATAAGTTTAAACTCATGGCTTATATCAACAGCTTTCGTGCGGTCGAATTGTTATTATAAAATGACTACATAAACTTGTACACGTTTAATTAAGTACTTTAAAAATTAAAATAATTAACTATATCTAGATGGATCATCTTTTACGATTGTTTTATAGTTTAGGAGTGAATATAATTTGAGAATATGCCTGATTTGTAGATCTTTAATGATATTATTGTAGCACATATGCTACTTCTAATTGAATCCGTTTAGAAGACCAATAAAGACAGATGTATACAAACTTCTATTGATCTATAAATTGATTCTTTATTTTTTGGACCATTGTTTTCTGTGTTCAAGTTTTGATAAAACTGGTGTGCAAATCGCAGTAAACAATCATGGCTTAACATCTTTACGCGCTTATTTCAATCGATATACAAAACATTTTGGCGCTCCAGGTTAGATATAAAATTTCGCTTACATACTTCATCAGTTTAATATTAGCTAGTTTATTTTGCAGATGATTAAAATATCTGTAAATGAACAAAAAGTGTTTGTTATTAATCCACTATTAACTGACCTTTTAATTCAGTTTAGTATAATCCGTACAGTTATTTAATTAAAGTGTATTCAATGGTATTTTTGTTGTTGTTTGAAGTGCCACAGGTGTAGTGAACTATTCATCGTTTATTAATGGAATGTTTATTTTAGTCATCAAATTCAACACAATTTCTTTTCATGGTAATCTGATGGTCGATATTATTTCTAGGATTCATTTCATTTCATTTGTGTATTTGTGAAATATTTAAATTCAGTAATGACTTCAACAAATATATTTGTTTGTTATTTAAAGCCAGTCAATTGTTTACGGCTTTAAGTTTGACCGTTGGAGTTTATTTACATTGAGCGTAAACTATATGTGCAATGGTAGAGCATTTATGAAGAAAAACTCATCAAAAACTTGTATCCTCCAAGAATGTTTCGATTCATTTGTGAATTTAAGTGAATTTGATAAATAAACAGAAGTCAACAATGAACATAATCTTTTTCCGCAACATTCGTATATATAGTTGTTTGATAAGCCTATACAAAGATAGAAGAGGTCGCATCATTAAGTAATCTGAGATTCAAATATCGAAAGGAAGTTACATACGGTAAAACAGAGGTTAGAAAAATGGAGGGATGAGAATAGTTTAAAGTCAGACAGGAGAGATAATTGTCCACTTGACAGATATGAAGAAAATCCAAATGTCATAATGTTTTCGTAAAATATAAACTACTTGTTAGTAGTTAAAAATAAAAAGTATAATTAAATAGTTTTGTTACATCCATTGACGTGTACTGTATGGAGCACAGATAGATTAGTGTGATAGTCACATTTTTTTTCAATAAAATCAAATACACGTTGATATAATTGTCTTTGATTGTCGAGAATTATTTGTATTGGTAATTAGGTAGATCGATTAATGTTTTGTATCTAGTATGAAATAGTGTAAATATTCATGCGCTTTAGGTTGAATTTCACACATTTCTAATATCATTCTTAGTACGTATTTATTTGCTTATTAATTGACAATAAGATTATTGTCAATTAGTGCTACAGTTATTGATTTTATTGTGATCAGAATCTATGTTAATATTTGATTTCAATAAATATTAGACGGAGAATTTTTTATTTACCATTTATTCTTGACATTTACTTTGTATTTGATTTTTTTCAATCATATAAATTCATCATTAAAATAATTTCATTTTAAACTCTGTTTAAGTATAAAAATTTCTACTGTATTTATCAGTAATATTTTTCATTGAACAAAATTTACGCTGTTTAATCACAGAATACATACTTTCTTTACAAAGATAATGTTTTTTTGTTATAAGCATTGATTTACTGATCGCAATAATAAAATCATAGTGAAAATGAGTAGCTGAATTTTTATAGAGTCAGGGTTCAAAGCCATCTTCAAGGTGAGGCTTTTGCCACACATTTATAAAATTGAAAACTATGTTTACTAATCGAACCTGTTCAACTTCTTCTTTTAATATGTTCTTAGTGCCTGGTTTTCCAAAAATCATTACTCTTTCTTTCTGCTTCTTTATTGACCATCAATTTTTAAACTGTTTGATTTTACTTCACTTTTAATTCAACATTCTATCTTATCATATTACGCAACTCTCTTGAAAACTATACTTCTAATGCCTATGATATTTTCCATGGGGATTCGCGTTCTTAACATTTCTATCGCTAGTTTCTCAATAAGAACAACGTTTTATTATGATTTTGTTACCGCAATCCGTGAATCATTGTTTTTAAGAAACATACTATGGTGGCCAAGCTATCTAGTTTCGGGACGGTTGGTATCCAACGTGTTATTAGACGTCCTAATTTGCTCGTCCAGACAATCGTTACTAAATATAGCCTCACGGTTTTGAATCAGAAGACGAATACGAAGTAATGAATACTTTTATTTGGCACACCACAAAAGGAAGAGCAGACCACAAGCATACAGAGAAGGTCAAACACGCTAGCGAGCGAGCTAATTGGCGAATGAATTAATAAGATCAAAATATACATATATATACATTGCAAAATGTCTGAGTCATCGGAATATTTAAGAGGTTAACATTAAAGCGAGTAGGATGAATATGTGAGTAGTTGGTAAGCGATATTCAGTCGTACCAGCTCAACACAAACCAGACAATAGTAGTAAAAGCCAATGGTTTATATAAGTTGTTGCTATACAAATGGCTTGGTTAAGTAAGTTAATCGAAAGGCTTAACCAGATGAAAAATGAGCGAACTCAAACACTTGTGGAGGCACTACAATACTAATGCTACTGTGATAAAAGCATGTATTTTGCGCATGTACCACTCCAAGAATTAATTCATTGGAAAGAAAGCTTCTGTAAAACGTTTCCCATTTTAATCATATTTTTAAATGTTTTGAGATTACTCAATTTAACGGTAGTGTGCATCACGAACTGACTTTAGCCAGACATTTATCGATAAAGTGTCTCATCCGAATATATAGTTTCTCAATAGCTGGGAATATGAGTTAGTGATTATCAGTTCAATCATATTAATTTGTCGAACTGCCTGTTAAACCTGTCTCTGGTGGACTAAATAGTGTGTGCACTACCAAGAGCGTTCCTACCTAGAATGAAGTCGCTATCGAATACTATAGGAATTTCAGTGGTTTTCTTTCAACTAATGTTTGGTATACTTACTTACTTACTTACGCCTGTTACCCTGATTGGAGTATAGGCCACCGATCAACATTCTTTAACCTACTCTGTCCTTGGCCTTCCTTTCGGGTTCTGTTGCTCATTCTTTTTTTCATTCTCTTCTCTTTCCATTTCTTTGTTCTTCCTCTTTCCCTTTGGCGTGTTGTGTACCCTCTCTTCAAAATAATATTTTTCTTCACATATATTTCACTGGTCGAAGTTTTTATCATAGATTCTTTTTTTTATCACATCTTGTATTGTTCATCATCAATAATTATTTTGATAAACGAAAAGTTAACTTTTAAAAACAACTTTTATCATAATCTTTGTTGCTCAAATGTTCAGACAGTTTATTTTTCAAATTTTCGTTGGAAGTTATTGATATTTTTTTTATCGAATAGTTCTTTTTGTTTTTCAAAAATTTTAATGTCTTGTCTTGTTTTTTTTTTCTTTTTGATTGCTAGCAAATTATTCATGTCTCAAATTTTTCCCATTCTACAAAATAAAAAAGAGAATCACTTCTCTTAACAATTATTCCACATGATTTCACTTCTTTACAAATAATATTTAGTCTTTTTTAGTAGTAGTAGTAGTATTAGTAGTAGTAGTAAGACGTGTTTTGTGATAATTGTTTCAGACACAAATCGATTGTTCACTTGTAATCAAAATGTTATAAGCATAATTTGAGTCTTACTAAACTCATCTAATAAACCATAGTACAATCTAGTAAATATAAATGAATAGGTTGAAAAAATAAAATCAAATATACATAACACCTTGTAATATTCAACTTATATTCTCTTTAGTCACGTTCTAATTCTAAGTTACTGTAAAAATAAACGAAAACTAATTGTAGTCTCTTTGGTATTTGTTTCAATTAATTTAACTTTCATGTATTTGCTTATTTAAAGCCTATCAATTAATTGGGTTATTAGTTTCATAACTTTAGCGTCATTTTTTTTTTGGTAAATGATAACTTGAATTTCAAATTATCATTGAAAGATAATTAAATTATTTAGTTGATGATTTTTTTTTAATTATTACAAAAACTGTCATTGGGTTAGTAGTTACATTTTCCTGTATGATTATATTCATCTATGTACCTTAAAATAGACATAGTAATATTCCGTAAATTCTCTTGAAAATACTTTATGTATGTAAACTAGAACTAACTAGTTCTGAATTAGCTAAGGGTTTTTTTGTTTATTATCTGAAAACTAGAATTTTGTCCCTAGCTCATTGGCTTCACTTAAAATAACAACAAATACACTGGATGATGATATTATCATGTTCTTGTTTAGTATAGTCAAGATGAGCTCATCAATTTAGTACGGATGGTTGATTTTGTAGTTAGTTGAATGATACCGATACTAATGAAGCATGGTTCATGATGGATTTCCTATAGGTCCCGTTGATTTAACATGTTTAGATCAACAGCGTATCAAAAGTCAAAAAATCATTTTTGTTCAGAATCTGTTTATTTCAGTTATGCTACTGCTGAGCGTAACACAATGTAAAAAAGATTCAACTATTGTGTAAAACGTTGAAATTCGGTAATGTACCGTTTCAGAGAACAACGTGATAAATTACAAGAAGTGGATAGACACATAAATAATATCATACACACATCTTTAAAACATAATGAAGAACACATGTGAGTAACTGATGAAAGTAAATATTATAGTTGACAGTTTAAATGAAAAGATCAGAATAATTCATCTCTCTCTCGAAAGGTGAGAATAGATCATGTAAACCGATAAAAATGCTACAATCGTATATTTTATTATTTTCTTTTTTTGTTTTGAAAAATTTAGGTCGAACTGTCTCAAATCAAGATGTCTGTGATTTGCTTACAGATATTACGCATCGTCTTAATCCACCTGTTCATTCAAAACCAGTTGAAGTATTACAATGGGCATCAGAAATTACGCAAGCATTTCATGGTTTACGAATAACAACTTGCAAATCAGCTAAAGATCGTACAGCTATGTCTGTTACATTGGAACAAATTCAGTGGTTGAAAGTAATTTTTTGTCTGTTGCATTTATTGTCAATCGTTCTATTCAGTGTTATATTTATGGCATATTTATTCCATACTGATGAAGTATGGCAGTTTGAACAGATGTACATAGTTGCCTGTTTTTTGACTAAAGGAGGATAGGAATTATTTTAATATTGATTGGTCAATCTAGTAATTTCAAATGTAATTATAATCATTTAGTCAATTATGAGCAACGCAAAACCTAGTGTGTATATACATCGTTTCAAGCTGTCACACACCATATTACTATTGCAAGATGAGATTTATGCCACAAGTCACGAATAACTTGTAGTAATAGTAGTAGTAGTAGTTACTAAGTATCTCCAACTATCGGTTATGATAATCGTCAATTACTCAACCGAGTTGTCCATATCTACCTCTTGTGCTCAATACAACAGTCAATAAATTTATTGTATTAGCATTCAACGTCCTATATGTCGTTACCTGTCATTCTAATATGGAAGTGAGCTCATTCAAACTTGCATGTAAGAGGATAAGTGTAATAAATTTGTAAATAAATAAATATTAACTGGTAGTATTTTTCAACAAAAAATATTATGTAATTTCAACGAAATAAATATTTGTTTCTTTTCTTCATGAAACAGACTACTTAACATTTTACATACTACTGTTAATACACTGATGTAATATTATCATCGTTAAAAATAAATCATATCAAATAAAATTATTCTACCAATGGTGGTTTACATTGAACATTGTAGAATTATCAAGTAAATGATATCACATTCAAGTCTTTGATTATTCTAGGATGAATATTATTTCAATCAATTGAATTAAACTGTTAGGGTTTTCTATGATTAATTCTGAAGCGGTTAGTTTGTTTATTATAAATTATTAATCTATTTATTATTATGATTTTCAATGTTATCTGATTTAAGAAGTGAATCAAATAAGAGAACAATGAATGCTTGATTAAAGAACGTAGAATTTCATGTCCTTTCTACTGACTAGTTCTTTTTAGTATAAGGTGTTATATATATATAAACCCTACTCTTGTTACCCTACTGTAATGGTTCATTTCTATTTCATTCTATTTATAAACTATTGTTCCTTCATTATGTTTGCCATGTACAGTTCATAAATGTGATAACTGGAGTCAATGTGAGATGATGTTGTGTGTTTACTTGTACATATTCCCATGAATATTTATTTTAGCGTTTTACAGGCGATATATTTTGACAACTCTATTTCCTTTAGTAGTATTGACTAAAAAAATATTATTATTTATTCAGTTTCATTTACATATATATATATATATTTAGTGATTATTGCTTGAAAAAAAATATCTGTTACATTAAATAAATATCATATCGAATTCATGTAAAAAATCAAATGAACACACTGGATCATTATGCACACTTTACTTCTTCCCAAACAAAATGTGTTTGTGCATTTAACATTCTCAACAATAATTGATATTTATAGTTGCACACTGATAATTTGTGTATTTTTTTCTTCTGGTTGTTGTTGTTGTTGTATATTCCATTCATTTTCTTTATAGTACAGATTTTTATTCCTATTGATCATTTCCTATAATAATTGGATTTTTGTCTCTAACTTGTTAAATCTGTTTCACTAATTAAATGCTTAATTTTCTTTTCTTCTAAAGTTCTGTAGCATACAATTCACTCAGTATAAGTTTATATAATTTGGACTTTAAGAGAGATAGGTTTTAGTTATATGACCAATGATAATTCCTAAGTAAGGTTAAGTTCATAATTGTCAGGTAATAATTTAAACTTGAGTGGTTTATTTAAACGAAAAACCAAATAATTCAGTCAAAGTGCTAGTTTTTAGAAAAAAGAAAGTTTTTATTATTATCTACTTCTTAATAAATATCGTTTCATGGATTCGTATAGATTAAGAGAGAAAAACGCAGCAACATTTAATTAGGATGGTTTTTCAACGGTTTCTAATGCTCAAAATGAACCACTAATCATACTCTAAGAACACAAATTTCCCTAAATTATTCTTCGTAAATAACGTTCTTGTAATCACTAACGCTAACAGATTAATTGCTTTCAATTTATGTTTCATCTTTTCTTCTTTTTAATTAGTTTAGAAATCCCAACTATATTCAAATTATAAATTTCAGTGATTATCTCATGTCAAAATGACAAATTTACCTGAACATTAGTTCCTGTCTTTTTTTTTATCTGTAGATACGAAAAAAAGTTCTTTATTGTTGTTTGTCTGTAAACGGTTGTATTCACTTTCTTTGAACGTTTGTGTATAATTAAACATAGAAATATTCTACAACCGCCAATGACAATTTAGTTCGTTGTTAATTATTAGTGATAATAATAATAATAATAATGACAATACTATTCTCCTTATTAAGAAATATTTCATTTTGGAAGAAAAAAATATTATCTTTCATTTTCTTTTTCTGTCTTGTTTCGTTTGATAATTGTTCATTAATTTAATTGTTTTTTTCAGTACTACTATTTATCATAAGTAACATTTTTTCCCTTTAATTCGTTTTTTTTTCTCATATACATGATTTTATCTTTGTCATCAAATTTATTCGTTGTCATCATTGTCAGATTTCGGTTTATTTACTAAAACAATACATAGTTTGATCTTTAATCATTTAAATAATATATTATATATGACTATGTGAAGAAGCCATCTATGTTACCGCTGTTCATTTGACTTTTTCTCTCAAAGATTAATTATATGAAATCGGAACACAATCTTATTTTAACTATTTAGTATTTAAATAATAATAGTACAATAGCAGAAATATTTATTTCTAAATGTTCAATTATAAATAGCATTTAAAAGAATTATAATTCTTTCCCTACTCGCATATAATATAAAGCATAAAAAGAATTAATAGCTGAGAAAATAAAACGTATAATTATATGACCAGTTGTTTGTTATTATCTTTTTTTTTCCTAAACAAGTAATATTTCAATGAACAATTCATCTAAAAAATAGTGTAATGTTATTTTTCTGTTTGTTTTCTCACTCATGAAATCGCTTCTGTTACTATGGTTAGTAGTAGTAGTAGTAAAACAGTGTTAGAAGACTGAATTCATATCTCATTTCTATTTTCATTTCAATTTTTTCCATCGCATCCATCCATACTTCACACTGAGGTAGTGTTGCATTTCTATCATTAATTTTTCTTTTCTCTCTATTATTTAAGAAGCATATTGTTAGTCGACAAACACACACACACAATGTGTATTGGCGTACGATAATCATTGTTGTTATTGTTATTCGCAGAATAAGAGTTTAATGTGTCGGTAGTTCAACTAGGAATTTATTGATACATTTTTTTTTTAAATAATTAGTTTTATTCATGTAATTAAAAATTCATTAGTTTATTTTCATTATGATTAATAGTTTTGTTTATTTTGTATCATAAGTAGCGTGTGTGGCATTAGTTTTTGGTCAATTATCTCTCTCTCTCTTCATATATCTATGCATATTTATGTATATATACTGACCATAGTTTATTCAATATTATTTATTGTTTTCGGCAATTATTCATTGATGAATTAGTTTATTCTGTTGTTCCATACATACTTCAACAAACTAATATCATTCATTATCCATTATTGGTTTATGTTAAAATTTCTCCTCTACTTATGATTTTATTTTTTAACGATTTCTTTATTCCATAGATTTTATATTATTGATTTGTTGAATGTGTTGTTTTTTTTTTTGTATAACGTATACTGTAGAAAAATGAATTTACTATCGGTTTTCACTGTGTAATTGTTCTATGACATAAGTATTTTGCGGTAATATATTGCCTACAGAATGATTAGTTGATTGTCAACCTGTTGATTCACCTTTTGATGTTACTATACATTACTGCGTTACATTTCACTTTGTCAGCAATAAAATATTTTGTAATAATAGTGGGCAGGAAACGTACATCGATTTGTGCTTTATTTTCATGTGTCAAATGTATCCACAACATTGATAAGCATTATCCTACTTTTCTAATGTTCCAATGAGTTAGTAGTTTTCGCGCATGGATTATTGTTGTTCTAAATAAATGTTCAATGTATAATCACTCAATATCATTCATTGTTTAGTTTAGTATGAGTATCTTCCATTTTGTATTTTTTTTTTAGCTGATTCATTAAAGTGACCATCTCTGCTGATAAAAATGTTTCAAATATTTGATTTTTTTTTCATCTATTGTATATATTTTTTTAATTCTCATATCATAAGTTAAATGCATCAACGTGTGATCATATTCATAGAATCTTATATAAGGCCTTAATAAAAACTGGTTAATTTGCATTCATTCATTGTCTACACGTAAATCATTGAATGTTTTTTTGGTTTTGAAAATTTAATTTCTAATTTGATAGTAAACAGTCGACTGTTAAATCACTGTCTAGTTGTATATGAAAATTCGATCACTTAATTATGTAAGGATTATCATTATATTTAATGTGGTTATGAGCTAGAAAATTTTCATCCAGTATTCCAAAACTTGAAATATACATTTGAAACGTTTCATGCAGTAGAGAAAATTGTAGCTGTGACATTTTTCCTCCTAATTTTGATCGATTCTTCAGTGAATAATTTCAGTGAACCGAAACAGACTATTTAGTGAATACGAACACAAAGCGTACCATTTCGATTGGGTCAAAGGTGTACATATTTTCCAGCCAGTATAACTCGGTTGGGTCATGACGATAGTCAAGCCCGACCACCACATCAAGGTAGTAGCTACGGTTGGGTCTTATATGAAACATTTGTTTTTGTATTGATGTGTAAATGTAAGCGGAGATGAGTCATTGTAACAGACTAATTTATCTTGTACATATTTTTTGGACTTAGGTTTTGGAAGTACAGTTTCGAGATCCCATATTTTAGCGTCACTAACCTTATTTGAACAACTGACTACTAATTATGCAGTAACTGTAGTTGCATAAGTTTTATTGTATGTTTATTGTATAATGTAAACCTATTTACTGATGGTATTGAACACTATTGGTTTCACTGCAATAACATAGTTTTTTTTCTGTTTTTTTTTTTTTCAACTTTTCTCTTTATATTTTTCAAGAGTGAAGGTATGCATCGCGATTGTTTTTATAAAGCTCTTCATTGTATTCGAAGCACTGGTCTACGTTTAGATAATGTCATGAAAAACACTGGTAAACGTAAATATGCATTCAATCGTCTTCAGTTGTTTTCATTTCCAAGATTGTATAGACCACCGATGGGAACATATTCTACAAATGTTTCATCCTAATGTAGATTTACTCAACTATGAATTTGATCGATTCTCATTCATTCATTCATTCTTCCTCTACTTATTATTATTATTATTTTTGTTTTGTCAATTTGCTTTTCTCTAGTCTTATGTTGTTTTCAATGAAAGGGAATGAGAAGAATCATTCTGCTTTTTTTTTGTTTGATATTTAATCAGCGAATTAATCGTTAAATGAAGTGTCAGTACGTTTCAATATTCCCATTTTGATTATTATTATTATTGTCATTATCAGTGACAATAATAAGTATGTATTGTTGATAATTGATTTTGTATTCACTTTGTATTTTCCATTTCGACTTTTATCTCTTTCTGTTTTTTTTAATAATTTTTATTTCACTTCATTCTTTTCTTTGTGTTATTGTGTTTTTTTTGTAAAGAAAATTCTCTTTATTCATTTCACAAAAGACTTATTTGCTATTTAATCATAATAATAATAATTTTGATTGTATAGATATTTTTTTTTCTTTTTTGACCAAAATAATCATATTAATAATGGTAATAATGTTTGACTTTGTTCATTGAAATAAATCTTATACTTTATTCATTGATGTGTATAATTATGTCTAAAGCAAATGATTGCTTGCCCCCTAATTCATTGCACTCAAACTGTAATTTTTAACATTGGAAACTATTATGTTCGTTTAATTGTGAATATGTATATGTTTGTTGCGATGATTAGTAAAAATGTTGAGTGCCCTTTCTTTTTATTCTTTTCTCATAACATATTGTGTTGATAAGGAGAAATCGAACTGTTGTAAAAACAGTATGATGAATATTTCAATAAACAATGATTTCTTAACTGCCGCCAGTGCATAGTAAAAAAAAAGTAAAGAAACTTGCCTAAACTATTCTACTTTTAAAATTTTTTTTTTTTATTTTTAACATTACATTCGATTTGATTATTTTGACTATAACGTCACTGTTGTGTTAGTTTTATGGTGTGAAGCTATTAATCATTCAGATTGATATTTGAACTTTTCTTATTTTTTAATAAAATTACATTTTCTATGTTGAACGTATTCGACTAACGTTTGCGAATTGTGCATACCATATACAGTTATATAATATGTTGGTAGTTGTAATCATGAAGTCGATTAGAATAATGTAAAAGCCTAAAAAAACTAAATACACCTAAGAAATGCATCCAAATACAAACACTCCTAAACAGTCAGAGTCATTCAGTCAGTCAGATGCAACGTAGAACTTTGTACGTAAGTACATCAGTTCATGTTGCCATACCACATCAGCGCTGAGATGTAATTTTCAATTCAAATCCAATAGTAGAAGAGGTAGTAGAGGTATTAGAAGTAATCGGAGAGGTTAGGACTAGAAGATATTATTCAGGAAGTATGATTCAGTGAGAAAAGTTTAGAGAGTCGAAACTAGAGGTGTTGAAGAACCCAGACGATTAGGATTTGAGAGAACACAGAGAATAAATGCACCGGCGCCATTGCGAACGATTTTGAGCCATGTCATTCAAGGTCTCTAACCATCGATTATTATTATCTCGCGGACCCCAACCAGGTAGTCGACAATTACCGACATGACACAGTTCACTTGTCAGTGACTTCATGGATTTCGACCATGTTTTGGTTTGGCCGCCCCTAACTTTCTTCCAACCTATTCCTACGCTACAAAACAAAGTTCGTCGAGGCAGTCGGTGGTTACGCATACGCAGCACATGTCCCAACCACCTCAACTGATGAAGTTTCATTACTTCATCTATTGATCTGCCATTCTTACCTAGCACCCGTTTTCTAATAACAGCGTTGCTCACTCGGGTGTCCCAGGATATACGAGCAATGCTTCGAAGACACCTATGATCGGAAACCAGTAACCTACGAATATCTTCTACTCTCACTGGCCATGTTTCACAGCCATAAAGTAAGACGGAGCGAACCACTGTGAAGTACACTCGTCCTTTTGTCAGCAAACGGATATCTCGCCTACGCCATAAGTGACGCAGGTTGGCAAAAGCCAATCGAGCCTTCTGTATCCGAGCTGATATTTCGTCACACACCAGGCCATCGGCACTGATGAGACTCCCAAGATAAGTGAAGCGGTCTACACGTTCGACTACTTCACTCCCTAACACTAGTTCAGGTGCCGATGAAACGCAATCTTGATGCAACATTTTGCATTTCGAGGCTGAGAACCACATCCCGAACATGCTTGCATTGTTGCTTAGGGTGATCAGAAGACTCTGCATTTTGTCAGCGTCTTCACCAAGTAGGACAATGTCATCGGCATATTCTTAGTCGATAAGCGAGCCTCCTGGTAAAAGGTCTACTCCAGGAAATTCAGACGAGGGTAAGGTTATTTCTAAGAGCTTGTCTATGATAAAATTAAACGAGAATGGAGAGAGTGGACATCCCTGACGGACACCACTTGATGTAGAGAATTCCGGTGACAGTTCGCCATAAGCCCTCACTCGACCAGTGGTGTTCGAGTAGAGAGCTTGTATGAGGTTAATGTGCTTCTCTGGTACACCTTTCAATGACAGACACTGCCACAGAACCTCACGATCAAATGCCGTCTTGACGTCCAGGAAAACAACTATTGTAGGACGACTAAATGTGTGTCTGTGTTCCAGGACGTGTCGTAGTGTGAAAATGTGGTCTATACAGCCACGTCCAGGTCGAAAGCCAGACTGGTTTTCTCGCGTTTGCTCTTCACGAGCTTTCGTTAAGCGTCGAAATATTGAGGCCAATATTTTAGATACTATATTAGTTAGACTGATTCCCCTGTGATTGTCACAAGAGGACTTTTGTCCTTTCTCATAGATTGGGACAATCAGTGATTGAGACCAGTCGGATGGGATTACGTCCAGTTCCCAGATTCTACCTAAGATCTCAGTCAACCTAGCTGCTAAAACTGGACTACCATCCTTAAAAATCTCAGGGGTCAGTCTATCAGGACCTGCAGCTTGCCCTCGCTTCACATTTCCTAACGCTTTCTCAACTTTATAAAGACTAGGGGGACTTAGGTCGATTTGCCATTCAGGATGACTGGAGATCGTGGGTAACCGAATAGTGGCTCGAGGCCAGTTGAACTGATCCCTAAAGTGTTCTGCCCATCGATCCAGTCTCCTGGTTTGAGAATAAATAATAGTCCCGTCATTTTCCGAGATAGTCTCACTCACACTAGGATTCCTAATACCAGTTTCCTTGATTAGTCGGAAAAGTTGTCGGGTGTTGCCTATCGCTGCTGCCTTTTCCATCGCTTTTGCTTTCGCTTCCCACCACTGTTTACGGTCGTTGCTCAGGCTTTTTATCAGCCTGCGCCTAAGTTGACTTCGTTGTTCATCATGTTCTGAGTCAGGTGGGATGAGTTTTCGGGCATCCATCAGATCGGTGGATGCTACTGAGATCCACGGCTTCATTCTAGCCTTATGGTTTACCTAACTAGCAGATATCACTGCTGTTTCCACAGCCTTCTTGATATCATTCCAACCTGCCTCCTGATGGGAATCGCTCACATGGTCGCCTAACTGGCTTTCTAGTTGTTCCTTAAATATATTCTTAGCCTCATTATCACTAAGTAGAACCCTGACAGGTTTCCTTACGGTGTCTTTCCTACATCCAGTAAGCCTCTAACAAATACGCGCTCGCACTAGGGCATGATCTGAATCTAAACATGTGCCCCAGAACGAGCAGCATTCCTCTATCAAACCTCTTCGTCGGTGGCTGATGGGGATGTGATCTAGTTGGGTCCAACGTTTAGACGACTTTGGGGGTCGCCAGGTCAAGAGAAGCTTTTTCTTATGCCTTCTTTTACACTTGTCAACAACATAATTAGGAATTGAAATGCCTATCAACAAGAAAGAAGATTAAGTGGATTGATGTAGCGAAGAGAGAATTCGTAAAAGAAATTTTTTAGGGTTATTAGTTATTTTGTTACATTGTCAAAATCAATGTGAACTGAACTACACTTCTGGATACTATTCAAAATGAATGTCGCACATTAGGTATCCATCTCATTAGAAAGGTTATTATTGAATAAATCAACCCAAAAGGAGGTAAAAAAAAAACACCACTACAACCTTGACTTAGCTGAATGCGTGTGAATGAGAATTTCCGAAATATAAAGAACAATGGTAGTCCCAGTTGATGAAAGATATAGAATTGTAGATATGGTTGTGGATGACTATTGTAAGCAGATCAAAGATTTAAGACAAAGGTGATTGTGAAACTATGGGGATAAATCTATTTCGGAAGCTAGACTGCTAACTTGAAACAAACGTGTCAAACACCAGATAATGAGCAGAGAAAAACTGATCGCTAGCGGAACGTAGTCAGTTTTTCCTTAGTTCTATGGTAGGTAAATAGTGTGCACATGATAAATATTTTTTTTGTTCATCTTTTGCTTTCAAAGATTTATTTATATTTTTCTAGGGTTTATCAACTTAAATAATGTACGTTTTCTGTGGTACAGGTTAACGATAAGATTAAAGATAGTCAATAGATAGTGACAAACTGTTATTATTTTTCAGGATAACAACCTTGTTTACCTTTACTGTCAGAATGACTAATCAAGATCACATTGTTCCGAATATCCAGATTTATTTAAAGGAATTAGAAATTCAGTGTGGTAGCAGATAAAGCGAATATATAATTTTATTTTCAGGGCATATTATTTGATCATTTATACTTTTAATTGTCGGACCAGGGTTGTTAACAAATCACATTACAGAGACACATGGCACTACACCTTCGTTAAAGGTCAATAAAAAGTACCTATTGATGGTCTTTCAAGTTACAGCAGTTCAAAAATAACATCTTGTACAATATCAACCCATAGTGTAGCAGAAGTATTAGCGGTGATCAAAAAGATTAGTGATCGAACATATGATTCGAGAAGTATATCCTAGTGGGACAGTGAAAACATGAATAATCTACCTATATTGAATGACATAATATCATAAGAAACATTGAATCAAATCTATTGTATGCATTTGTAAGAAAATAATCACATATAGT